AAATAATTCCCTAGTAAATCAAAGTGCTCATGTATGCTGAAATCATGGTGACATAAACAAGTGCTAATAAACTTCACAGCACAGTTTATACTTTGCTCTGCAGTTTTTTTTAATTCACCTTGTTTTCAGTACATTCTCAGAAATAAGAGATTAACTTTTTAAGCAATTTCTCTCAGTCTAAATTTTGTTTCTAACAAGAGATGATGAAAATCCAATTTCTGACCTTGAAAATTGGGGGTTGACTTATACACAAGTGTAACTTACACACAAGTAAATACAGTAAAAGATTGTGCCATTTTTCACGCCGATTTTAAGCATGCAATAGAATCGAAATTCAGCTTGAGGAATGTAATTCCTTTTCTCTGAACATGTCTGTAAGATAAACCATTAGAGTTAATTAAAGGGATATGTACAGGCTATGAGGCAGCATAGAATCATTTGGACTCTGTTTATGTAGATCCAAGGTTTGTGTCCAATACCATCACTCAAGACATAATTAAGTTTACAGCTTTGCAACCTGGAGAGGATGCAAGATTTTGCCACTTAGTTCACTAGTTAAGTGAAGGTTTAACACTCTGAAGGAAGCCAGAAGTCAAAATGACATTGACAATAATCACATGCTATCCATTATGGAGCAGAAATTGTGTTCGGATAATTGAAAGGTTTGGTCATGAGACTTGGAGAATGAGGGAGAAAAAGCAACTTTAGAGTGACTGATGACATGGATGGATGTTGAGATAAAATCATACTTGCGTGCTACTGCCCCATCAAGATCTAGTAGATCAGTCTATGCCTTTCAATTCGACACACCCGACTAGAGGTGGTACAAATGCTGGTACTGTAAAAATTTGTCCCATTGGCCAGACACATGCCCCAAACTTTCTGCAGTCAGAATTAACTGGTGTATCAAGGTTGCTAAAGAAAACCATGTTTACTTTAGTTGTAAGAAAGCAGCCAGAAGAAAGCATAGAGTTGATAACTGTAGGAGACATCAAAAGTGTACAAAGACTGAGAATGGAAGGGAGTGCATGTTCACAAGAGCACTGCAGTTGAAGTTGGCATCGCGTAACTCTCCAAGCCACATTGTACTCTTTTGCAGGTGATAACATGCAAGATTTATAATCAAAATGGGTTCCAAAAGCAAAGCAACACTCTCCTTGACTCTGGAGCACAGATAAGCCTAGTCCACGAAGAAACAGTAGCTGCACTGGCACTCAAAGGAAATAACACCACTATAACCCTTACAAAAGTGGGAGTAGAAGAGGAGACAATCAAGACTAAAGTTTACAAAGTTCCTGCGTCATCACCAGAGAGCACTGGAATCCTGTGCATCAGGGAAGAAGTGACAGCAATACAGCCTAAACCAATCACCAAGTTTCTTGGACAGGAGCACAAAAAGATACCTAGAGGCAATGGTCCTGTTGATTTACTGATAGGAAACGATCATGTCCAGATGCATACTGGATCAGGCAAACTAGACAGTCAATTACAAGAAAAACACCTCTAAGTTCGGTTTTTGGAGGACAATCAGGAGAAACACAATTGAATGGCTACATCTCCCATGTAAGATTTGCAGCGCCAGTAGAGATGTCAGGTTTTTGTAACACTGAGGCAATAGGAGTGGAAGTTAAACTGTAGGTAATGCCAAGCTACAAGAGACACCTGGTAATTTCACGAGTTTCTTAGCACGCATTTCCAAAAAAACACGAGTGCTTTTAAACCATAGTACAAATGTCAGATTCAAAGCAGTCAAACTTATCTTGTTAGTTTTCAACTAAAATGGAACATCTTATTCAACATCTTACTGATACAGAAAGAACTTAGAAGTTGGTTTGCTGATTGGAACAAATTGTCCAAGGGCCATTAAACCATGAGAGATAATGCCTGGCTCTGATAATAATCCATATGGAATAAGGGCTCATCTTAGTTGAGGCATTATTGGTAGAGTATGCCTTTCTCATTTACATGAAAGTCAGGGAATTTGGACGAACAGGATCATGACAAGAGAACTGACTAGTACTTACAAATGTGGCAGGCCCTGTTGTGGTACGATATTTGTTCTGAAATCTTGCATCAAGAAATTCTTCAATCCAGGTAAAGTAAACAAATTATTTGAGTTAGATTTTCAAGAATGAGCGACCATTGTCTGTTAAAGACCTAAAGTTCCTCAAAATCCTTGGTGACAAAATCCACAAGCAAGAAAACAAATACTATGAGATGCTGCTACCTCTACGCTTAGAAGTGGAGCATCCAAACAACAGTTTGCCATGTGATTTACATGATCTATCATTCATGTAACATTCATGAAATAAACAAAAGATTTCAAAATGCACTCCTTTACTGGAGTTAAGTCAAGAAAACAAATGATGAGAAATACTTGTTAAACATACTAAGAATAAAGCCTAAGTTTAGTTTTATAACAGCAAAAGACAAAACATAAGCCTGTTCTGATCAGTGTCTTCCGATGCTATTGTAATAGTAGATTTTTCCGCACCATTTTTGACTTAAACAGTGCACACATTTTAGGCCAATATGGTATCCAAATGTTTCTTTAGTTTTTGCAGTTTACATTCACACATAATCAAATTTTAATTCCATCATTAACGCATGAAGTTTGGATGGTGTGAAATCAGCTGGCAATAAGCAGTCTGCTGCAGACTCAGACTTGCTGCTTTCTCCATCTTCATGCAAAAACTAACAAGAATTCAGATGAACTGACAAGAATTCCATGCTTTGGCAGCTTGTTTTGAATCTTCACTCTCGTCATCTTATCATTCTTAATATCTGTTGATCTATGAAAGCTCTTATTCCATAGACAGCTTTTTTGGGTCTCCCTGAGCGAGGTAAATTTGCTACAGAGCCAGTAAGACACAGCTTCTTGATTAAGCAAGTGATACCTGAAAGTCTTATTCATAACCCTTCACTTTTCAAGACTTTAACCCTCTCACCACCAATGGTCAGGTTTCCAGCCAGGCAGAAAATGTTTAATTCTACTGGTGGCCTGGTAAAGAGGCCAAACAAAGTGCTTGACTTCAAGGGCCTTTATCTAATAAACTGACTTAGGAACAACTCCAGACTCTGACCCCATTGCTCTGGTGGCAGATGACCCTGGTATAGTTAGAAGAAGAGTGAGAGTCAGGGCAGTGGCGAAGCCAAAAAATCTCCAGACCTCTAATTGTAGCATATACTCGTTTGTGATAGACTTCAAGCCCTTTTTGAACTAAGCGATATCCTGTTGCACGAACGGTGCAAAACTTCTGGTGGATACCAGCATAAACACAAGCTCAAAGGGGCTGTGTATTTTTCTTGCATAAGTTCCCGAAAATACATCCAATGAGCCATCAATTCCCCCCTGCCCTCAATAAACTAAAAGTAGCAACAGTAGCAATGTCAATGTGATAACAGCACTCCAGCGATATAACTAAAGTACACAAATTTTATTGAATTAGATGGTAGCGAATCTAAGTGCTGTGTGAAAGTCGATGCATACAAATATTCATTTTCAATGCTGATGTCGGTTATTTGCCATTGAGTGAAATGGGTCATATGGCAAGCCGCACTTAACTAAATAATTTTTTCCCTATTAAAATCTCTATTTGAGATTAATTATATCAAATGACTATGAACTCACTCGTTTTCTGTTTGACTGGCTCAAAGATGATAGCCTCTGTCTTTGGAATCTCTGAGGAAAGGAGCAATTTGCAATAGCATCTCAGTAGTTTCTCCTGTTGCAAAACTAGATTTCAAAATTTTCACAGAGGACAAAATGAATCCTTATGGTTGGAATTTAAACCCAATGGGAAGCTATCCTTCTGAACAACTGAATTCTGTAAGGCGCTGGAACATCCCCCTTACGATGACCAATTTAGACCATCTAGAGAGTAAGGAGGCACCAAAAGACAGCTGAAAAATGCCAGCAAAAGATCAAGTATTTGATTGACAAATATAAAGATGCAGAGTCATGGAACAAGAGTCAGACAGAAGGTCACATACGTAAAAGTGTTTTCTATGACAAAATAGACTGAGTTCTTGGAACACGAGATATTGTTACCATGAAACACTTGGTCAAAGCAGAGACAAGCACTGCTTCTATGAGTGCAAACCCTCTAAGTGATCATGATGGCTCACCGCCAAGCATGAGTGGAACACCAAGTTCTTAAGAAAGTAGCATTGCTTCTAGTGGCAATGAAATCTTGGATGCCAAAGTCAATCTGGCCACTCCCAGCAAACAGTGCCAGAAAGAAAGGAAGTGCACAATGAAAGGGAAAGTAGCGCCCAAAGACACTGGAGAGGAAGAGGCAGTTTCCATCAAGAAAAGCCTTGAATCCATAGAAAGCAAGGTGAAAAGCTCCCTGCTATTATGGAGGGTATGCTGCAGAACCATGGTAAAGAAATTGGAAATGATGGCATCTTTCATGGGCTCTCTTCTGGAAGCCATAAAGGATAAAAAATAGATGCCTAGCAGTTTACCTTTTTAACAATGGACTGTTCAGTCTGATGATTCATCTTGTTGTTGCTTGTAGAGTTTACAGTTGCAAAGATATATTGGATTTTTTTTCAATTTCATTGCTTTTACTTTGTTAAAATAATTTTCAAGTAAAGAAACTGTTGTGATTACTATAACATGGTTTGATTTAGTTTACAATATAAAATAGTTTCGTCTTTTTGATAGTTTACAATCGTGGGAACATATTTGAGTTCCATTCCAAATGATCAGACTTGACTTATTAAAATAGTTTTTGAGTGAGGGATGGATCATGGATAACATGCCTTGATTCAATTTATTGAAATTTCAATCATTATTCAATGAAGTCAAAGTGTAAAAGTAAAAAATTAACAACACGACAGCAATAGCAAGTAATCATAACTTAATTCTCAATTTTTTTTTAAAATATAGTTCATTGAAATTGTAATATTGTATGAACTTTTTGGATTCATAAGTTATATTTGTGTTATCGATTAAATGTTGTGGTTAAGTCACGCATTTGCAATGTACTCTCTTAACACACTTCAAACGTCATCCCCATCCCTTGTAACATCCTTGTTGCTTTCATGTCCTTGATCTCGAGGGTCATGATTTCATCATTCCATTCATCTTGATTCAGCAGACAAAAGTTGTGAAGGACTGCACAAGTAACAGTGATTTTGTTGGCAAATGAAATCTTACTTTCCAGCCATTTCCCCAGTATACGCCAGCAATTTTTTAGCATCCCAAAAGTGCACTCTACTGCAACCCTGGCACCGGACAAAGCTTTATCGAAAGCTATTTCCTCTGGATCTCTCATTGCTTCAGGAAATGGCTTTTGAAGCCAAGAGGCAAGTGGGTATGCACTGTCTCCAATTAGATTGAGTTTGATATCATTACCCCCAATTTGCACAGAAGGACCCATCAGAATCTGATTGTGCTCTGCAAGATCAAATATTGTACTATTTCGTAGAACTCTCGCATCACACATACTGCCTGGAGAGCCAGATGCAAAGTCAAGGAAGTGTTTCTTGCCATCGACAATAGCTTGAACAATGAAGTTGTGTTGTTGGTAGCAAGTGAAATAGTCCACCGCAGTGTATGGAGGAGCAGCTATTCTGATATGGGATCCATCAATTGCAACAACAAAGTTCGGGAGATCAAAAAACATCTTGAAATGTCTCTATACAATGCTATGTTTCTGCATGGGAAACTTTGTGCAATCATTCCTGAGATTGAAAGGGGCTTCCACAACATCTTGCACTGCTTCTAGACCAGTCAACCTTCCAACACTGAAAACTGGCTCAATACTTTCATACAAGTTGCCACGAGCAAGACAGTACAAACCAAGCATGAGAACTTTTTCTGGAGCAACGCAGCCATGCAATCTTGTATTTTTATGAGTTATAACCGGCTGCAAAACATTCAACAGAATATCAAAGGTACATTGGTTCATTCATAGTTGCTTTCTGAAATAATACCAGGGAGTCTTTCAGTCATTGTAGTGAATCTCAAACCAAGACTGTTTTGGTCTTGGAAGTTTCTGAAAGTATGGGTTGTGTCAACGTGCCTGGTGTCTCTGTCATCTACAGTATTCAATCATTAAGAGAGCCACTTGATTTCGAAGATATTGATGCCTCAACAACAGGCACACCATAAGGAGTATTTCGTCTGCCATCTGAGCGATAATTACAAGAAAGAGGAATGCGACAAGAAACAAAATTTTAATGCACTCCATTATCCCACCAGATGAAGTCAATGTTTTGGCATGCAACAGAATTGAATAAATTATAATTTTGTCTGCTAGTGCAGATCAGCCCTTAGTCAAAAAACCAAGTTTCAAGTCTTTTTAAATTTTTCCTCTATTGGAACTGGTTTGTACATGTGATAAACTAAATATTTGTGTAAAAAAATTTTTCATGTCATAGGCACTTAAAATGCTTTTCACTTTGTATTTAGTGACATCAATGAAGTCAACAAGTCAGTTTACTGACATTCTATTATAACTGATAAGTCTTTCTTTATTGACACCTTGCATTGGTGTGATTTATACAAGAGCATCAAGCAAACCTACAAGAAGAAATGCTGTGATAATCAGATGTTTTGCAATTCAAATTAATCTATAAGTTTAAGAATTGGAGTTACCTTAAAATGATTGAGAATTGATCACAGATCAAGAATGTGGGATTTCCTTTTTTTCAAAATGTCTCCTTCTGGGTCTAAAATTGATTTGAAGACAACCTGTCAATTTAGGGTTCAATTCCCAAAATGCCCTGGTGTTCTGGGCACTTTCTACCCAAAATGCCTGGTGGTGCAAGGGTAAAATATTCCAGCTGGATGGAGGCCTTAGTTATACAGGAACTCGATTCAAGTTCTCACCTAGCTCGCAAACTTTTGGCATGTTAACTACCAGAGTGCTAAGAAATCAATCAATGAAAGAGAGAATTGTAAATGAAGCATTGGTATGTCAATTTAAATCACATTTCCTTACCCAATCTCAACAACAAGTGGGGAATTTTACACATGGTTATATGAAGAAGTTAAGTGTAAGGAATGGCACCCAGTTCAAGTTTCACTTCCCTGGAGTGTTTGCGTGGTTGTTTGTACCACGACTTGAACACCTGGTTATTCAGATCACCTCAACAATCAAAAATTCATTGAGGATTCAACAGGAACAACAGATAGACTAGTTAATTAAGCAGATGGAACTGATTTTGAATATTTCTGAATTGCATTACAAAAATACTTCTTGGCTACTTTTATACTTTAACTTGCTTTAATTATACTTTATCATTTGCCTTCTGCTCTATTACTGTTCATGGTTTATAATGTACAGTGATTATCTTGAAGGAACGGTTTTTCACATGAAAAAATAACAGTTGGTGGGTGCAGTCTGACCTCTCAGACAAACAAGTAAACTAGATTCAAAGATACTATGGCCTGGCCATTACACACAACACTCTGTCATCCCCAAATCCATCAGACAGAGAGGTTAATGTAGATGTTTACACCATGAAAAAGAACATCCTCACTCTCTTACACCACTCTATTTAACCTGCAATGTAAAGATCCAGCAAAGCAACACAGATTTTGTCTCCTGACACAAAAAAGAGTCTCAAGTAAATTAGATACTAATTAACACATTTTATAGTATAAATTTTATTGTCTATAGAAGTTTTCAAGGACCATGCATATCATTAAACTTTTTCTAAAACTTATTGAAAATATTATGCAGTTCAGCTTACTGGCCACAATGTGAATTTGTATGCTTAATAAATCCATTAAATCTATCAAATCTACCTTCAACTAAGAATTCAACCACAGTTAAGCCAACTGTGAAAGATAAGCCAACTACTTCTGGCACCAACAACAGGAAACCTCAATGTAAACCAAAACATGTTCCTTTAGATTGTACATATACATGCAAATATTGATTTTGAGAAAGATATATCCTACTCCTTTATTTCATACTTTAGGAGCACTACAGTACTGGTCAAAGATAAGTTGACAGTCCAGTCTCTACTCCATAATCACTCCTCAATACTCAAAACTATCAAGAATTAAGGCTCAAGTATTGAGTATTGAATATGGAGGAATCAGAAACAAGGATTAAGACACTCAAAAAACTTTGTGAGGATCTCAAACTGCAGTATCAAGAAAATGAGTTAAATATTGCAAACAGAACAATTGCTCAAGACAAAGGGCTCGACACGCAGCTCTTCTTTAAACACACAGACAGCTCACAGACATGGAAATATTTCTATGGTTGATCAATCACTACGACCAGTTCTGCAGCGTTTTAAATTAAATTGTGGAATGATCTTCCATGTTCTATCAGAATGATCAAATCTTTAAACAGGTTTAAGAAAGCTATCGATACTTTTTTACTTGCAATAGCTTTCTAATTCTTTGTATGTAATTTTCATGTTTCTACATCTCAGTCAACATTTTTATTTTTAGGTTTCATATGTAGATATAGTTGCGTTTTAACATTGTAATATGCAATTGAAAATTGATAATTGTGCAATATAAGGCAATAAATTATAACAATAATAATAATAATAATTATTATTATTATTAATATTGTCATTTTCATATCACAAGATTCAAGCTTTAGCTAAGCCCTATCTTAGTGTTGATGATATTGAATAGAGAATGTGTTACATTTATAATTACTACATGATATATGCATAAGAGTTGCTTGAGGTATGGCCTCAAGCAACTCTAGCTTCTTGAGTGATCTCCAAACTTCCCAAGTGCTTCATTTCTTGATGAATGCACAGCTGATATATTAACTAATTGTTTTATAACATTTATATATATATATATATATTCATTGGCTAATTTACAACAGGCCAGGCTTCGTGTGACAGAAAGTTCGACTTACAAACAAATCTAGGTAGGCATCACAAGGTTCCTAATCATTTTCTCGGTATTGACGCCAAAGAATATTTCAACCATACTTTTATGGTATAGATATTTGGTAGCTGTTGAAGAGTGAGCCATGATGTTGTTGCCACTGTCATCTCGATCTTTTTTTGAATTTGAGTGCGGGTGTTAATGATGGTGCCAGAAGAATAAGAGCTTTCGCCTGTCAGACTTCTTGACAAAACTTCACTGCAGTGTTGTAGTCATGAAGTGGAAGGCCACGTGTTGTAGTGCGCCAGACTCTGCTCACTACAGCGACCTGATATTGCCATAATATGGCAATTTTGGATTCCAGCATTTGACCACAACGTGATCACAGTGGCCCCAACGCTGCAGTTTGTGTACATTTTCAACAGTTTTGCAGTCTCACTGATGCTTTTCATTGTGTTGTCAAGCTTGTTGATACCGATCAGTCGAGCATCATACCAAACTTCATCATCATAATTCCACTGCTTCTTCAGATATTGAGAAAATGCATTGCTTTTAGGATTCAACTTCGAGATATATAGCTTCATGGCTTTGTAACCATTGTTTTCATCAGAGGTTTCATACGTCAGTGCCAATTTTTCATCGCTTGGGATATTGCTCACACCTCCTGGATGATTTTTAGTTACCTCATCATGTGTCATTGTGACGAACCTTCTTCCAGAGGCATCTGCTTCAAATTTAAAACTCAATCTTTTGAGCTCCCTTTGCCCTTCTCTTCCTCTCTAATAAAAAAACAGGACAACATGAAACCACACATTTCAAAGCAAGGAAAGAGGGTTGGTGACTGCAATGGCTCAAGACGTTATGAGTTTTGCCAAATCTTCCTTTTCAATCACTGGCTTATGCTTTACATTTTCTTTTCCTTGGCGCTTTAAGCTGATCTGAACATTCAGCATCTCATTTGATCTTCCGAAATGAGGGTCTGAGCTCAGTTAAAGGCCACAGTTCAAAGGAGGTGCAGTGAGGTTCCTTTCGAAGGAATGTTGGAAACCAAGAAGAGTGGATTTACTGTAAGGTTCACCAGATTTGTTTCTTGCTTCAGAAAAATTTTCGTAAGTTTGTGTCCAGTTGTCCCAGTCATTTTCTCGATTGCTGTTTCAATTTTTTTCTTGTTGCACCAAGCTTGTATCAGGACAAAAACATTGCAGGTTAATTTTTTAGAATATACATATATATTTCTTTATGTTAGACATTGCATGTTTAAAATTATATCAGTCAAAAACTATGACAGATTAAGTATTAGTTACAAGCCTCTCCTTTGAACTGTTTACATTGCTGACAGATTACTGCACAAGGATTATTGTTTCCATAGCAACTGTAAAGAGAATAAAATACTCTTAAATACATTTGAGATAGAAGTATTTACCTTTGAATGTACTAACAGACCAGTTTGTTATTTGGTTGGTTCTTGCAGAGTGTCTCTCTACCAAGATATTTTCTAACTCGGACTCACTCAGAGTTGCAAAAGGGGATGACACCAGTCATGCTTGTTCTTTGTTTTCTTTTTCTTTTTGTTCTTTTTTGGAAGTTAAAAACTCCATTCCCAAAGAAAAAGTAAGCAGTTCTTCCTCATCAGCTGGCTCACAACTTTCCATGTCTCCACACCGGCAAGGAGAATGCCCCACAACATCAAGGTGCCCTGTCTGATTCAGAAAGAGTTGTTGTGGATCTCATGGAGCCTTTGCTGAAACCAGTGAAACAGGTAAAATTGAGGAGAGGTGAAGTCAGTGTCAACAGGAGCAGTGAACTTCTTGCTCTTAAGTTCAAGGACAAGAGAGATGTGACCATGCTCTCAACAATTCACAACAAAGAAATGGTTCAAGGGAGAAGAAATGCAGCCCACCAAAAACCAAAATGCATTTCAGATTACAACAAGTATATGGGGGTGTGGATCATACAGATCAGTTGCTGCAGCCATATGGAATTGCAAGAAAGTCTCTAATTGGTATAAAAAGTTAGCAATCCACTTCCTGCAGCTTGCAATGCTAAACAGTTTCCTGCTTTTCAAGAAAGATGGGGGTCGAAAGCGTTTTTTGGAATTTCAGCATGATGTCATTTCTGTCCTTGTATTTGGTCAGGACAATGAGGCCCATCATGATATTCCAAGAGAGGAAAATGTTGTCAGACTTACAGAGAGGCACTTTGTTGAGCAAATTCCACCGACAGACAGCAAACAGAAAGCACAGAAGAGATGCAAAGTCTGCTAAAAGAAGAATATCAGAAAGGAAACCTGCTACTACTGCCCAAGCTGCCCCAGCACACCAGGCCTCTATTACTACCCATGCTTCAGAATTTACCACACAGACTTTGTGTATTAAGCCAACACTTGGAAAAAATGACATAACACTAAAACATGCAGTAGAGATTTTGGTATAATAACTTTATTTCAGTGTACATGTTATTGTTTGTCTTCAGTATATAGCATTGAAAAGTGTAACACACTTACACTGTGTACTACAGTGTAAGTTCTATCTTTTTTTAACATATAACTTACTCGTGTGACATTGTATCTTCAGGAGATTTTCATCCTATGTCATGCAAATAATTTTGTGTCACTCAGTACCAGTTTAGAGATATTTATGAGCTAGGGGATTTGATAATGTAGGGGAAAAATCTAGAAATTTTAGACATTTTAAAGACCTTTCAGAAAATGTATAGGTTTATACAGCTTAAAGAAGTAATTTTCAGTTTATTTGAAGTTTTTTTGAAGACACCTGTTTTCAGCAAAAATGGCATGGCACACTGGTTACAAATGGTACCAGCAGTCAAGGGGTTAAAGTTATTGAGTAGTGAAGATCAAGGTTTGAGGGGCTGTCAACTTACCTTTGAGCAGTACTGTAACTCTGAGACTTTTCTAAGTCAAATAGCACCCAACATGCAAACAGCTTTATACCCTAGTTAATTAAAGGAACACTATCAGCGAGATGCATCCACCAGTCTTGAAATCCATAGTTGAATAATTCCACAATCATTTTGCTTTCTTACGCACTTCCAAACAAGCAAATAAGCATATCATGCTTTCTTTTATATCAAAGCATTAAGAATGAAGCCATTTGTTTCATTTCATTTGGCTGGTCCAAGGAAATCAACTCCTTTGACGTCTTTGCCACATAAACTTTTTCATCGGTCAAATCCAAGTTTGTTTACCAGCTACTGAGGTTGTGATGGACTTTTCCAGTCATTTGAAACCAGCCAAGAAAAATTAAAGATTCTGATTAAATAAATATCTCTACCCTTCTTCATTGCATTTCACAGCACACATGTTTATCATAAACGAAAATAATTTTATATGAATCTTCTACATTAATTATTACCTGGTACTTACAATTTCACTTTCCTGGGAAGTACATTTTGCTTCCAGCTCATGACGGTTTCTTTTTTTCGGCCAGAGTTTCAGCTTGATCAAGTCATTGTTTTCTGATAACAAAGGACCCCTTGATTAATGAAATGACCCAAGCTCTGAACACAATTTTTGATTGTACTCATGATGACTGGACATAATGTGTTGTCTATCTGAAGGTATGCCCTTGCATTCTCATCGTTAAAATAATACCTTTCCACAAAGAATTTCCCCTCCCATTTCTAATATTCATTATTACACAGCATCTGTGTAATCTACATGGAAGTTGAATATCATTGTCATTGAGGTTATAAGTAGAGATGTGTTAACACAGTTCCCAAAGAACATAATGACTTTCTTCCTCTTGCTTGGTTGCAAAAGAATTGGTTAACTCTGCCATTCAATAGTTTAATACAGATGACTTATCTTGATGACGGCAATACTCAATCTGCCACAGCAAGAGTAATTATTTCAGTTTTTGTTGTTGTTGCATCCTTAAGTCACAGTATTGTCTCACATAAAACTATAACATTGTGAGGAGAACTCTGTGGATGTTTTGTATTTCTTTCCCCTTTTAAAACTCACCATTATTTTCAATCACCGCATGAATTTCAGTAATGACCAGTCAGTCTTCTACCTCTGACAGTTTGTTACCAACATCTGAAAGAGCAGATAACAAGACAACTCAGAAGGCAGTCGAGGAGAAAGTGCAGTCTTCTTCGTCTCCTATTGTGCCTAGAGGACAAGAATATGAACCTCACATCAAATAAGTCACAGTGAAGAGGAACTGAAAATAATCACAGAAAGATAGTTCATATGCTCACTGGATCTGTTTCTTGATTTTCTTCAGAAGAGCTGATTAGTGCTAGGTTGCAATAACACCTTAAATGATAACCACCACTTTGTGGGTACAATATTTTTGTCCATATCACATGCCAAGCTGGACACTTGTGCGGTTTTTCACTCATCCCATGGAGTGAATGACATGTATAAGTACAATTTGCAATCTGCATCTGCACCTCTCTTGTCTGGAGAACATTCAGTAAAATAGCTAGAATAGCTGATTTTCTGAATGTAAACTTTCTGTCTGAAACAACATGTCTCATACCGTGCCTTTGTTTGGCTCCAGCACTAGAAGACTGGCCTACCTGGTTGTTCAAAGCTGGGTTATGAAAGCCCAGCTTTCCTAGCGCAAAGCCGAAGACACTCAAAGCTTGAAATATATTTTAGAAAACAATTGAATTATTTTAACGAAATGTGAGAAATATTTTAGTGCCGAATTCAAGTAAACAAGACGTACCGGCGCCAGTCGATAGAGCCAACTTCTCGATCGAGTCGCACCTTCTGGAGCGATTTCAAATTTCTGAAATAAGGTTGTCATGATCTCAGGCTGGAATCTTACATCATCCCGAAAAGGAGTGAATCTAGTTCGTATCTTAAAGACTTTCGCAAACATTTTTTACGAAATACTAGTGGAATCACGACGAATAGTTTCCAAGTTTTATTGAAACGACGACCATTGCGACCTTTAGAAGTCGTGATATGCAAACGTTGATAGCTTGCTTCAGCGGCGGCATTTTGAAACAGGCAACTTATGTTTTCCGAAGCAATGCAGAACAAAGCAGGCTGACTGCATTAAAAAAACAAAAGCGAAAACGTGCGCGACACATGCACTTTGACGCGCGCTTTTGCTTCTATTTTTTTCGCGCAGAACTCGGAAAACGTGCAAACTATTTCTGAGCTGTACTGTATGCGTGAAGTCGTCCCCGCGACATTACCAGCTTAAACCCGATCGGCATCAAAATTTTAATTTAAATGTTACCCAAGTCAACAAGTAATCTGATCAGTACAAGATTTACGAGATCACAGGTGTACGGGCAATGATTTAGATTTACATTAAACGTAAACAAACCTCCGACATTTTGCAAAGATGCTGATTTTTCCACCAAAGTAGCCCATCCTCGAATTAACTACTTGAACTTTTCTTTTGCAAAATCAGCAAGATAGTTATCAAAAAGATACTACCAACATTATTATGCTTACCATACATCGCCCTTGGCAAGTCTGCAACTCTTCTTGATGATCTCCTTACGACCCCTCGAGCAACACCTACAATAGCGCACCGGTGACATGAGTTTGTTCCCAGACCCCTTGCACCTTGTGAGGCTGCTCGCCTGTTCCAAATGGTGGACCCAAACAATTCCCAGGGTTATCGAGTTTGATTTAGGGTCGAGAAAGTGAGCATAAATCTGTGTTTTTGGAGATTTATATTCCCTAGAAGATTTAGATCCCTGCTTAAAACGTCTACTCTCAAACCTTAGCCTTGTAACTTATATGATCATTCGGAGCATCAGGTCACACCACAAAGCATAGCTTTACACAGATAAATATATATTTTTTTATCCACGTTCGATTCGTCAGCAGTAAATATATATCAACCTACAAGTAAAAAATTGAAAAAGTATTGAAACGATAAAAAGCACAAAGTCCTTACCTACTAAAAGCTGCTTTCCACGAATACTGTGGCTTAAGAACTTGTTTGGTGAGCCGTTTTAAAAGCCCAAGGGACTCTGCTTATCCAACATCGACGGGAAAACTACGTTACTCCAATGTGTAGTGCAACTGTAGTTAAAGCCATTTTTATAAAGTTTGTGTGCAGTATGAAACTTCGAGTTCGTTGTCAGAGAGCAGGAGCTTCAGAACGCAAGTTAGACTTATCCCCCAGCCTGTGTTATTCTGTCACGTCGAGTTATATCGTATCCCAAGATGTCGACCTCATCGTCTCTTACGGTCTCATTGAGCTTAGTCTCATTAATCAATGATATGTCTGTTTTTTACAGTTCCAGAAAAATTCTAAGATCTTCTGTATGAGTAACTAATGCATTGATATTAAAAGAGGCCTATTCAAAACCACTTTGAAATGGCAAAAGTGAGATCGGCTCTCTACCCCTTTCAGTTTTCATACGAAATTCTGTGTTGCATTTGGTGCACTTACCAGGCACGAAATTCGTGGAGAGCGCGTATTATTACTCTAAGGTTGTTTTTAAGTTTTTAAAAATTTTTTTTAATCACCTTTGAAATTAAGACTTGATCGTCCCTTGTCCAAATCACGCTCTGCGATCTTTTGGTGCTGGATAAGTTTCCATCCAGTCTGACGGCAGTAGCTCTTTTAGATGTTTGCTCGCTTTCTTCACTGCTCTATTGAATCCATCCCTTCCAAAAGTAAGCTCTGAAATAGCGATGGTGGCATCGGATGAGTTTTCGATTTCACTGGTAAGGTCCACGATCGATTCGGTAACGAGCAAGAGATTTGCAAACGAGAAAACAAAAATAAAGGACAGAAAAAGACACTTACAAACGTTGTACGATATCCGGGGAAAACGGCAAATTCAAGACGTTTTAAAGCGATGAACAGAGACAGTTCAAACAGTTAGACATCAATCCACGGTGAAAAATTTATACAAGCGAGACACACAAAGGAAAATTAAGCGGGTAAAAATTATGCACGTAGAACAAAAAGCTCTAATGAAGATGTGACAATAGAAGAGCACGAATTCGCAATGAGAAACGCGCCGAACGAATTTTTGGCGGCAACAGTACATTCTTCCACAAGCATGGAATTACCGCACGCGTTGGAATTGAACTCTGCTCCATCCCATTCTTTTTCTAACCAACAAGTTACAATTCGTTACGATTAGAATTTGCATTAGGCCGCGTCAGGTGTCGAGTCCTCGCCATGAAGGATGTGTTCTCCCATTTTTAGAGGTGTTTGAAGTGTTACATCGACTAGCACCGGGTACATGGACTGCTTCTCTTGAAACGATTAGAAGGCAAATGGGAGTACCTTTATTTGCCCTTTTTGTCATTTGCCTCTCTCGAGGACCAAATTTATAAAAATCGCGTAACCCGTTATTCTTTATCTACCATTCCTTCATTTCACTAGAAGACTGCATGGAGTCTTTCAGACACCCCCCAAATACTCTAAACTTCTTCCCGTAATGAAGCCAGCTCCTCTTGAATTTGAAGGTTTCTTGACCGTTGAACTTTTTCTGCATGGCCACGTCCTCTTCAGCCTTATTCCAAAGTAGCTCTACGTAAATCAGATACTAGCCACTGAGAAGTAACCCATATACAATGACGTCATATATCTCAAAACTTATTGGGATTTAAATTGAATGTTGTTCCTCGCTTAGAACAAATTGCCGATCGACACTGAAAGTATGAATTTCTTTTACACTTTTAAACGAAAGCTTTTAATCTTTTATAGCTTAAAAGCTATTTCTTCTTATAATCCTCTAAACAACGGCGTGTAAGTTGATAGGGCAAGTGTGAGTGGGATGGAACAGCCATACATTCTTTACTCATTTCTGATAGGAATAATCTTCTTTTCATTAAGTTGCTGAAACATTGACTTCAATTCTTCTCCTTTGCTCCTTTACTTGTTTTTTCTCAAATAAAGGCTTTATTTTTTTATTATTTTTAAATCTGCTGCTTTCGAAAGTATATATAGACAATATGTCTTTTTTGTGGAGACAATAGAAAAGCAGAAGTTGATTGGGAGACCTCAGTGTTGAAAACTTAAAAGGTACAAGTGGAGAAGGATATTTCCTTGTAAATAAATCGTTTAAAAAAACATATTCGCGTAGTGATATATAATGTGCCCAGCTTATAATCGGCATGAAAAACCCAAGACAAGTATTCAGCGGAAATCTTGGAGACACGTTCCATCAGTAACCTTTGCAAAACAAGACTTTTATACTTCGAGCTACAAAAGTAAAATTATCCGAGAACAATAATGTTTTTTTTTTAGTTATAGGTTGAAAAACTTTGAGTGCCCGAAGACATTGCCTGCATTTTTAATAGTCGTTGAAACAAGGTCTATAATATACAAGAAGAATTCCTGGAATCCAGTATTTAAGACATACATGAATAAACTGGGAAGCGATTTATAAAAACGACTGTACGTATCGTCCAGATACCTACAATGTACTCTCGACATGTATAAGTTAAGTGTATCTGTCCAAATCCCCTCACGAGCTCACAAAACCGCGGTTTTCAGTTATTGCTAGATCACGACTGCGTCACGCAGCGCCCCAACAGGTAGGTTGCAAATCTTGTGATATATTGAGGTTGAAGAAAAAGAGGGCAAATAATTTGTTCATATCAAGCTTTCTATATGAATATATAGATAGACTCTTAAAGTTAAGTTATTTATAGAAAATTCAGGAGGAACTCGTTAAAAATTGACGTTCACAGAACTCTTCATCAGTGGATCTAGCAAACCACGACCCCTCTTCAGAAAACGAATCAACTTCTGGCTGAAGCGTAGAGGCAAACGTGTATAATCAGCATGACAAATAATGAACTGTGCCTTCAGCCAGTGTGTTCATCCCACCAAGGACTTCCATCAATACTTTATATTCTCCAAATGGATCGAGGAAAGTTCAGAAGATGACACGATTTTCCTCAGTTCAAACGCCTGGTCTAAAACATTGTTAAGTTAGCAGTGAATAATTTGACATGTTAGGCATCGCCCATAAAGCTTGCATGGCTGGACAAACTGAAACGCGAAAAAAGCGTTGAAGTTCACCATCCATCTTCCAGAATGAAAAACAACCCAACAGCGGCTTAGTTCAAAGAATTTCTGTAATATGCGATGTTAGTCGTATCATATTAGATCTTAGAGAGCTAGCCATCACAAGGAATAACGTTCCAGCCGCCAGAAGCGTCAGCTTGAAGTTTAATTTTCCTGGTCTTGAAGTAAACGTTCCTTACACAGCCTAGGAAGCCGGTATCGTATTTGTTGAAAGTCATTTCCGCGATGTTTTCACCTCCTCCTGTCATAAGATGTTTCAAATGAAGTAGTGATAAGAAAAACACTAGTTCTACTCTTCTTAATTGAGGGTCTGAGAGTACATGTGACCCTTTTCGTCGGAAAAGTAAGAATTGATAATTACAAAAGAACGTGACATTACCCCACATGAAATTCAGACCCTAGCGTAAGATCCCGCTTTTGCCCTTTTTCCTCTTTTATTTCGTGAATATCTTGGTAAATCTTCTCAACGAGACTCATGATCGCCTTTTATGACCTCTTGTCTTTCTGCGCTTCTTGAAATTAATGAAGCCACCGAAGGTTTTGTGGAGTACAACAAATGTGGGATGCCTAGTGCGGTCGACAGTCCGCTTGGGCTCTCTTTAAAACTGGAACTACTTCCCTGATGGTCAAGTCAACTCTTCTTAATAAAGCTACTCACCTACTAATATAGACCCCTGGATATTCAGTCCCCTACTTCCTACGACAGATGTACCATTGACTGGTTCTTGATCATCCACTATTAAGGAGCCCTCCATGTAACTCCTAAAAACCGTGCAAGAAGAGAAATCAGCCCCTTTTCCCCTTACAGAAGGGTTCGAAGCGGCCTTATGCTTGTGCGTCAGTCTAGGACTCGAGTGATCCTACTGCTAACCCTCAGCCAACGACTTTCCGAGGAAAGGACACACTTCCTCCTGTATAGCTATAATTAATCCGATGCGCAAGCTTCCTTACCTGAAAACCTCGATTGAGTGCCACTCCCCGTCGTTGACTGGTAACGAGGATCTGAGAATAGCAGGGCCAGAGCCAAGCTCGAATCTGATTAGAAAAATAAAGCATTAGTAGCCACCTTTAACTGTACAAGTGAAAACATTAAGTAAGTACCAATCTCGAGATTTACGTTCTCACAACGTACTTTGCTTTCCCATCATTCATACTTTCATGTTCACAGCGTGAAAGAAAGGCACAAGCTAGACTGACCTGAACTCCAAGCGACCTTCCCTTAAGCCAATTGCGAAGTGATCTCCTCTCTATGAGAAAGATGGAAAATTAACCGGTTTAGTGTCCTTTTAGAATGGGAAAGATTTGTTACCTTTCGTGATATCTGTGAGAGCTATTTTTCTTGAATAAAAATAATCAACACTAACCTGGCCTTGCCATATGATGACTCCATTCTCGGCGTTGGTTTTTATCTCTAATGACATGTAATCTGGTTTTACTACCCTATAAATAACGAAAAAAAGTCGAACAATTCCTTCTTCAAACAGCGCAAAAGTTCTCGTTTTAACCTCTTGGAAATGCACACTAAGGAAAGGAAAATTCCAAGTCTTACCTAGGTCCTCGCATCGTAGAGCTTGGAAACTGTAAGTAGCCATTTCCGTTAAAGGCTGCACTGTCACCGAGTTGAACAACTACAATGGAACACAAATTGCTTCATGCTTAATGATTAAGACGACGCACATGAAAAAAGAAGATTAAGAAAATAAGTTTACTAAAATTATATTATCATGTAAATGCGAAATGTAAAAATATGGATGGAAATTGTGGTTAGTCCAAAATGCTGTATATGAGTGAAGACATAATGGCAAAGTGGTTCCGATAACTGAGGCGGTGGCCTCATATGTGTTCTGTAACAAAAGGTTGGTGAAAATATTTATGTGGACACTTTTCTTCACGGACTAGTGTCGTCCAATGCAAATTAGTGCCGCCTCTTAATAAACGCTTACCATTCTCGCATCTATCTCCTCTAAAGCCTAACGGACAGGAACATATGCTATCCGAGGTGGGTAGGAGTACACCGTTATTGAGACAAGTATTGTTCCTCAGTGGTCCAACCAAAGGAACCTCGCAGTGTCGTCCAGTGTACCCCTGAGCACACGAACAACTGTAACTAATCTTACCAATTGGTAGACACGTGGCATTGTTTAGACAGGGTTCTATTTCACAGGGTAAAAAACATTCTGTACACTGCGTGATATTACGCAGTTCAAGGTTTGACTTTATCAAGTTTATCTCTCTGCCATCTACTGACATGGCAGATATACAACCAACTAGTCCGGAGCCGACGCCAACTTTACGTGTGTCTATCACTGCGAAGTTCTCGACGCCTCCTATGAATAAGTTTAATGCAAGATTCAACCCCTTTGTGCAGCATGGGGAGTCGTCTGTTACAGGTGGATCGTTGTCAAGTGTTAGCGAGCCTTCATCCAGCGTACGTTCCAGGTGAACTGTGTGCCACTGTCCAACAGTAATATTTCTTGCGCTTCGCACAATTCCAGGACCACTTCCCAAATCAAACCTAAACTCAACTTTTCCACCAATAATGGCCAAAGAAATGAAGTCTCCACGCTGAGGGAACTGCCTCTGACCATTGTATAACAGAAGCATGTTTCCTGATTTATGAATCATGAATCTGATTACAAGTTTTAATTGTTGGAGAGCACCTTCGATTCCCGGAAATGACATAAAGGAATGCCCATCGAACATAGGCGTCTCTATGAGAGCTCCTGCAAAAAGTGAAAAAAGATAAACTTCATAAGGAGAATAACAAGCCATACTTTGAAATCAATCAATCCTTTCGGCATGTTAGGCTTTTCTTTCATTTCAGACGTTATGTTACTGTTCAAAGTTTTTATAAGAGTTAAAAGGCGAGGGTGCGTACACGTGGTCAGAAATAGCTGACTAATACCAGTGGTGAAAAGGGTCTCGTTAAAGAGCACTCGATGCAATATCACTTCATAGGGTCGACCATTATTGGGAACACTGGAAATATCTTTTTACCCTTTCGCACCAAAAGGTGATATCTAACGATACTAAAGGTTGAGCTACAGAATATAACACAATAATCCTCGAAAAATAAAGTGGTGGGGATCAAGAACAAGCGTTCGTTGGAAACAGAAATATCAAATAGAGCTTCCTGTTCCACGCATTTCTGCTACTACGGTTAGGAATACCGCTCGGTATAAGAAGCTATTTTATGTCATGGATTACCCCGTTTTACAATTTCTAAGCACCAACAAACCTTCCTCGCATCTCTCCCCTGAGTAACCTGCTGGACATATACACTTAAAACCTTCGTCGCCGATATTCTCACAACGGCCTTCGTTGCAAACTCCGGGAGAACACTGCTGTCCAGCATCTTGACAAGTTCTTCCTGAATAGCCGGGCCTACAACTGCAGACAAAGCCCCAGGCTCCCGGAACCTCTTCACAAGTGCCACCGTTGTTGCAAGGCCTTGTCTCGCAAACGTTACAATCTTCCAAGCCCATATGGTCAATGGGATCTCCTATGAACATGACATTTAAGGTTGATCGGTTACATCAAACAGGACAAGTACACATCAATGAACTCCGTTTGCAAACATATTGAAAAAAATGAAAGCGAGTGATGAAGTCCATAAGTACAAATAAGAACAGGTTTTTTTATGAAACAGAATTTCATGTTACTCCTTAATCTGTACGATTAGATTAAAATTTTTTCGATATCCTACCGAGAAATCAGTTTAAAAGGGGATAAACAACCTTATCTTCATTTGTGTCCAGAAATGCACGTAGTAACGAAAATGGCAAATTTGACGAAACTTTGTCAAATCGAGTAAATGCTCATGGAATTGACGATTTTGGCGAATTTTTGTCAAATTCATCAAAGCGAAATCAGCTCGGCAGGATGGACGAATTTTAGTCAAATCCGTCAAAGCGAACTTAGCTTGGCGGATTTGGCGGATTTGACGAATTTTCGCCATCGTGGTTACTTCAATCATTTCTGGACATATCTCAAAGTTATATTTTACATTACCAATTTCCCTGAAAAATCGATGGAGAAAAAACACAAACCAAATAAAAAACAGCACACTCTGCAACACTTTTCTGTAAGGTGGAGAACACTGTGTGCCATTTCCTTTCGTTTAAGGCAATTTTGGAGACTAAGTTGCTTGACAGACAGAAGGAGAATTAAATAGCGAATGAACTTTACTCGCTCACCAAGATTTACAACGTTTCCATCAACCATTAAGTAGCTTAAACAGCCAATGAACCCAGACTTGAAGCCTGCCAGCGTACTTATCGACAAAAAATCAGGGACTCCCCCGATGTATAAATCTTGGTTTAAGTTCAGTCCTGTACTACCTCCCTTGGAAATTCCTGTAACAGGTGACTTGCTATCAACAGTCAGATTTCCAACCTTCCCGTTACGTGATAGAATGACTGAATGCCACTCGTAAAGACGCAGAGGTTGGTGGCTTCTTATGATGGCAGGCTCGAAGCCAAGATTGAACCTACCGGTAAGAGAAAATTTGATTGCAGGAAAAATGTGTTAGACAGGAGTCAAGACAGGAGATGGATGGGCGCTATATCCAGTCAAACGTCTCGATAGCAATGTGCCGAACATGATTTGGGATTGAACTGTTTTGGCGATACTGCAGTATATGATTGGTGGAGAAAATTCGCGCCACCGGCAAAGGGACCGTTCACCTCAGTTCCTTTCAGTTCAGTTCTTACCGATTCTTCCTTCCGATGGGCCCCTTTGATAACTTTTTTTTGGTGCCAACGACACGCAATCGAAAACCACTACAGAACCGTGTAATTGCCACTAACCTAAACTCAGCAAATCCATTCGACATTCCAAATGATATAAAGTCTCCTACAGAACCGTTGGTAAACTGATCGTTGTAAAATATGAGGCCGTCTGCCATCTCTGGTGTAAACACAATCTCCACCGTAAAATTAAGCGGCTCTTTAGTTAATGTTGGTACGCTGAGGTATGATAGTGGCCTCTGAGTAAAACGGGGCACGGTCACTACGGACGAAGAATACAGCCTGTCAGTAGAAATCTTTTGCGACAAGCCAATTATTCGAGGACTGAAATCCATTACTTTTTTTTAAACCTTAATGAAATCTTCGAGTTTTACGAGTTGTTGACCAGTATCTGTCCGGAGTGATACTTTGTTAGTTTTAAATTGACTCTATATCTACTTTGTTCAGTACAAAAACAAACAAATAAAAACTTTAGAACACCATTACTTGTTTTCAAGTAATACCTTTTATCTCAAGAGTTGTATTTCCTTGTGCTGATCCTTCGACATTGGAAGCGTCACAGAAATATATCCCAGCATCTTGGTGGGTTACATTAGGAATTCTAAGTACTCCATCACTTACTGTGGCATAAATCGGAACTGAACCATTCAATTTTCGCCATGTTAGCTTGGGTAATGGTGAGCCACTGGCAATGCAAGTAAATTCCCCTGTCTCCCCAAGCTTTACCCGTGACTTTTGGGGCGTAACCGTCACCTTAGGTGCCTCTGAAAGGTAAATTCATATGTGATGTGCAGCTGGGAATGGATGTTTGCAACCTTGTGTATTCTTGCGCGATATTCTTTGACAATAACGAGTGGTCTGCGCTCATTTTTAGATCCCTGATACTAAATTTTTGATGGTCGCCTAAACATTCATCTTTTGAATCAACTGTTTTAAAAAACTCATAATTCTCAGAATAGTCGATGGTGGTGTTACCACTATGCAGTAAATCTCAGAGAAAACAAATCGATGATGTCATTTTTGCTGCGGTTTCTGTTGCTGCATCATAATAATAATAATAATATGCATAATAATAATAATAATAATAATAATAGTATGATATACTATAGCGTGATATACTAATAGCGTGATATATTTCAATAAAATATACGAACCTTGTACTAAAACAACAATCTCGGATTGTACAGAGCCTACTTTGTTGGTGACATTACAAACATAGGGTCCTCCATGGTAAAGTTGAGCGTTTACAATATTAAGAAGTCCACCATCTGTAGTTACTCCATTGGGCAAAGGACCGTCAACACGTGACCACATGATCTCCGGTTCTGGGATTCCTGTTCCTTGACACTCGAGAGTAAGGGAACCACCGACAGCTACCGTTGTTACAGAGGATCCACCCGTTATAGTTCCAGTGGGGAAATCTATAAATTAACAAGGTTTCGAATTCATTCGTGTGTCACTGCAGTCTTTTAGACCTGAAAGCGTTTGAAACGATAAAATACAAATCCTGAAGTGGCTGTCATTTGAAGAAATTAACGTAATAATAACAATAATAATAATAACAACTTTATTAACGTATCCTACGTTCTGGTTTGATTACGGAAAATAACCGAGGACACCTATCTAGAGTTATTGTAAAAATACAACTATCAATAGACAAAAGACTCTCCCGGCCATTAACAGGATCTACTAATTATCTCTGCACACAATTTCAATATGAATTTTAAAAGAAAAATGTGAAGTAAGAACTAATTATTACATAGATAAGAATCCTTATATTTAATTCTGAAAATAATTGTGAGGTCTAGCTTTCTCACTTTAAAAACATTCAGGGCTGGTCATCAAAACAAAGTTCAGCCATTGTTTAACAAAAGCGAGTCCTAAACATCCTCAATATAGCTGGACCTTTTATCTGAACATTTACTTCTGTGAATTGTGTCAAGAGGGCTGAAAGCTAACACTGGAAGGACATTTATTTCCCTAAGTCAACGCTCTTAGAAAGAAAGTCTGAGGCCCACTGATTACGTAAAACCGTAGTTTGAGTTAGACCTTGGGTAGATAACCGGTCCCTGAGGTCTTAGTCAATTTAGTCGACTTTGGGAGCTTATACTAAGCCCTTATATCTTAAAAAAGTGTCTCCTAAACGTAATGGCGTTGTATCGTGGCAAGGAAAAGTCGTCTTGATTCCTGGAGTTATACGTGCCCATATTATAACTAAATAGGTTTGCTAGATATGTTGAAACTAAGTTATTTTTGGCGTTAAACATTCATAAGGCAATGTCTTGGAGTCTGCGGTCAAGCAAAGATAAAAAATTAGCTTTCTATATAGTTCTTCGTGCGAGCTACTCGGATCACAGCAAATGGCCCCTTATGCCCGCTCTTGCAGCCTCTCCACTTTTCTGTCATCGGAAGAGCGGTAGCGGTGCCATACTATGGGGCAATATGTGATCTGAGGTGAAATAAGGGCTTCATAATTCCCAATTTAGCAAGAGTAGTTTTTAAATTGACACCAAACGACGCGTACAAACCTTCAACTGAGAGATATACAACTTTTTGTGAATACCCTGCGGCATTGGTAGCTGTACAAATATAGCGACCTTCATCTGAACTCACAATACGCGTCAGCGTCAACTTATTACGCAAAGATGAGTGTCTCCGTGAAAGACTCATGCCTTCTTTTGTCCACGTGATCACAGGTTCTGGTATACCAGATGCGTTGCATCGGAAAGTAACATTGGAATTCGGTGAGGCTACCATGGACTCTGTCGAGACAGTTACTGTTGGTCGAACTAGGAAGAATGTAAAAAAGCTATAAGAGAATGTATGAATCTTACACTCAGTCATTAAATGAATTTGAATTTATATTGTTTTAAGTTCTCTACTTTTAAACCCTCTTTTAAAAGTTTGATAATGGAAAATCCATAGAGAGTGAACTCTCTTAAAGTTCTCGGACGCCATTACATTGCCACCCACTGATGTAGCGAACTCAATGGAAAACTCTCTGTTTGCTTTATATTACACTGCTTTAATGGTTAATGAGTGTTTTGCCTAGAACGATATCCAAGAACCTCAAGAACACAGATTACATGCCGTTTCAGGGCGCTTTGACATCACCTTTTCTACAATTCTGAAAAGAAAAAAGAATCTTTTCGATTTTGTTTCTCAAATTTACCTGCGCTATTATTAATAATATTTATTATCACTCTTTCGTTTTCGCTCCAGTATCTGGAAATTTATGGAAGAATATTTCTTCTCAAAAGATTAATTCATCATCTCTGTGAACATCGGAACAGATGAAATCGATCTGCCCCAAAAAAGTCAAGAAAAAAGACGGGTGAATATTTGATCTGGAAAACCATAACCGTGAAGCAATATTCCTAAAACAGAGAACCAAAATGGTATCTCACCGACTACTGTTACGATTGCAAAATCTTCATCAGAACCTGCAGCATTGAAGGCTTGACAACGGTACTTCCCTGCATGTTCCACACTCGCATTCTTAATGATCAGTTTTCCCTTGTCTACTTCACTTTCGCCAGTTATACTTCCGTTTATTTTCGACCATATAACCGGAACTAATGGTGTGGCAACGCAAAACAAGCTCAGAGAATCTCCTTGAATTACCGCTCTCTGAGAAGGTGTCACCTCTACTTGAGGTGGGGCTGCAATCGGTTGAAAAGAAAAGGTAGTGCTAAGTTTGTCATATAACTAGAGGGGCAACCCCCACGTCTAGGCGAATTAACTAGGATTTGAGAAATTGGGTTTGACTTCTAAATTATTAGTAGTTGAGCTGAGTTACATCCTTGCGTGTCTGTTGGGATTCTCGTGTATCCAGGAAGCTGTCTCTGCTTTGTCCTTAGACGTTATAGTAGATGAAACTATCGATGAGGATAGATTAATCCTTAGTCAGTGCCCAAGCAATTATTTATCTCCGCCGACGCGAGAATAAAGTTAAAAAAATATTTTAAGTAAATATTCCTTTAAATCTGGTAGATGATCTTTTTTTCCCTTAAGGTTGAATGGAATCTGCCTACCTATCACCTCCAACTGAACGTTAACGATGTCTTCTCCTTCAACATTCACAGCCTTACATGCATATATTCCAGCATCTCGTCTGGCAACAGATGGGATGGTCAGATTTCCATTTCTATTCAAGACACCACTGGGTAAATTAGAGCCTACTCTTTCCCAAGTGATACTTGGCGTTGGTACACCCGTCGAGTTACAGCGGAGCACAATCTTGTAACCCTCGATAACTGATTCGTACAAAGTTTCCACGACAACTTCTGGAGGTTCGTTGGCCACAGTAACTAAATAGAAACGTAGTTTGAAAATTTTTATGCATTGTAAGAAATTTGTAGCCTGTAAAGAATAAACCATCCACACCTACGTTAGATATTTACCTAGCAACTGGACACTTTCTCTTCTAATTCCCACGATGTTTGTCGCCTGGCAGGTGTAATTTCCCTGGTCTTCCAATCTTACGTCTTCGATGGTGAGTTTTAATACACCCATCCTAGTTTCTACTATTTGGAGACTGGATCGAGAGCTCTCTGGACTTATCCACTCAACCAACGGAGGGGGGTCTCCAGCGGCTGCGCATTCCATGGTGACTGTATTACCAGTTGTCGCAGAAACAGGACTGGAAGGAGTCGTGATGATATTGGGTTCACCTGAAAGTGAAAAATGCAGACGTCGATAACTGCATGTTATAACATATGCGACATATCGCATCCACCTAATATGGAAAGTATTCAGTTCCAGCCAAACCTTTCTTTTTGCTTATGAGACTGAAAGGATAGCAATGATCCATATTAACACTGATTACCTTGAACAATCAGCAGAGCAACAGCTTCAGCAGATCCCATTACATTTGTGGCCTTGCAAATGTACTTTCCCTGACTGTTACCGTTTGCTGGAGAGATCACCAACACTCCATCATCGCTACTGTTCAACGGTTGACTCTCTTCTGTTTCCCACACCACCGCAGGGGGAGGATTACCAGCTTTAACAACACACCTGAAAATTACTGTTTCTCCTCCAGTGACGGTTAACCTTCTCGCCGGCATGATTTCTATCCTTGGCAACACTTTACCTGAAGTAAATATGAAAAACCATTAGCGCCGCGCCTTAATCAGTTGTTTAGAGAAAAAAAAAAGGCGTCGTTAGGATAAGTTTATGGAAAACAGAAAACAGATATAATTTATTCCATCAAGAGAGTTGTGGTACCATCAATAGAGCAATTCTATGAACGAGCAACATTAGAAAAATGCTTAATCACTTGTAACCTAACCTGAGCAATGTTTGGTCGCATCATACCGGCAAAGAAAAAATAACTACAGGTCACCTGACCTGACATAACCTTCCTTTCTTAATTGCAAAACAAATACTAAGCTCTTTGACGTCCCATTATTGATATCGAGTAATGTTTAGGTTGTCCTAACTCGATAAATATATATTTCGAAATATCTAAACGGGGAGTTCAGAGCTACTTCCCAACACCAAGATCAATTGTTGAGCTGTTTACTTACTTCTGACGTTAATAAAAGCCGTTACTTGTTTGACACCTTTCTTGTTTTGAGCCAAGCATAGGTACATGCCCTCATCCTCTTTTGTTATTTCTGAGATCACCAATAATCCACCAATAATGGAGTGGTTGTCCGGTAACTCGCCACCCACTTTCCTCCACTCTATGGAGGGATAAGGATCTCCTGTCACTTGGCATGATAAGCTGGTGGATGAACCTTCAAGGACAGTTTGATTTGCCGGTGACACCAACGCAGTTGGAGGGACGGAGGTATCTAAAAAAAGATAAAACTTTGAGACTACGTGTGACTTAAGTGAGCGTCAATCTTTATCTTTTAACAAGTTGTCTTTTAAGGAGGCTAAATAGAATCGCTTTATTGTTATTCCGTCAGACGGAATGACCGGTGAATTACTGGTAGCCGTACACGTAAAAAGTGGCGGGAAGATCAACTTAAGTTAACCGAACTAAACATGAGAGGACTGGAAACAACTTCTTGACTTGTGGTAAACATGGCGGCTTTTTGGCCAGATAAGCATGATAAGGTTCACAAAAATGGTTGGTACAATATTGTCTGCTAAAAGAATTTTTCGACTTCGAAGAATTCTCCGCCATTCGTCGCTTCCAATGACCAATCAGTTGGTTTTCGGTAAATGTTTCTCTTTAATTAGACTTAACTTGGTACAACACAGATCGGACAACACAAATTGACTTACTCATTTCCTTATTTTACCTGCGTACTTTTCTGAACGTCATTTGCTGGTCTTCTCGGCTTTCCCGTTGACAAATCATTAGAAAAAAAACTGTCTTAAATCATAACTGACTCGAGTAAAAAACAAGTCTGTAGTATCTGTTTTCAACGTATATTTGTTATATTTGAATTATGGACTGGTATTATATGTTTCAGTTTGGGAATCCTTTGCAGTCAGGAATCAGTTGCGGTTCAGGGATCATGTAAGGAACTGTGTAGGACTCTTAATTTTTTTCACTACCTCTCGCTATATGCCTTTGTGCGACTCTGTTTAGCTCACGCATCTACCTCTTTTTAAAAAAGGCAGCATCACAGGCTAATCCTGGTGGTAATCACTTTACCTCTCTCCACAGTGAGAGTCACCAAATATCCATCCACTCCAATCGTATTAGCCGCTGTACAAACGTAATCACCTCCGTCTTCAAGCTTTGTGGGGAAAATGCGTAGAAAACCATTTAAAGAGGTAGAGGACGGAAGAAGCTGGCCCTTCTCACGTGACCATCGAATTGTGGGTTTTGGGTCCCCTATCGCCGAGCACTGGAACGAGGCTTCTTCACCTTCCAAAACAGTCAGCGAACTGGGCTCGACCGAAATGATAGGGGCAGTACCAGGAGCTACGAAAATACCAAAAAAAAAAAGGTAAAGAGGAACTGTCACAGTGGGAAAATGGAATCTAATCTGGTTGAAAATGCCGTCATACCTGAGACATTCAGGAATGTTCCAGTGCTGGAGATCCCTCCCAAATTGGAAGCTGTACAAAAGTATTCTCCTTCGTGAATTTTTTTCACGGCATCAAATATCAAAAGCCCGTTACCATTGGCTGTACTCGCTTCCGGTGGCAATTCACCGCCAGGACCACCATGCCACTGAAGTTCAGGAGCTGGAAATCCCGACGCAGAGCAACGAAATTGAGCGGAGTCTCCCTCTTGCACACTCAAACTGGCAGGGCTTATGAGGACCTGAGGCTTTGTCACTGAAAAAGAAAAACGAAGTAGTTTCATACAGACTACAAAATATCCGAAGTCATGCAACCAAGTGGATCACCCTTACCTCCTATTCTCAGCTGTACGGTCACCATATCTTCGTTGTTGGCATTTTTACCGGTGCATGTGTACGATCCTCCATGGATGGCCTGGGCACGTTCGATCGTCAGAACACCATTTTCATTCTCGGCCCCGTTGGGAAGTGCTCCATTCACGCCCTGAGTCCATTGCAAAGTGTACTCGGTCACACTTTTTGCTCTGCACGTGAACTGTGCTTTTTGGTCCAAAAGAACATGAAGGACTTTTGGTGAAACTGTTACGCTTATGGGATCCACACGGCGAGCTAATTTCAGGACACAATAAAGGTTGTCAGTGAAAGGTAAATATAACCATCTCCTCTAACATTTAGAACAACGATCAAGTAATGGTTACTTTGTATTTTCAACAGGGTTGACGCTCACATAGAAGACATTAACAGATGAATGCTAAAAAGGCTATGTAAAAATCACTTTCATTACATTTTGATGAAAAACAAGAAGCCACTTCGATACTCAACAAAAGAGTTGTAATAAGAAAAGGAATCGCGAGGGGATTAACCCTAAAGTGAACTCGTTACTTCGTTATAAATCACATGCTGGGCAATATTACTGAATGCTGATTGGCTGAGACAGAGGGAAATTTTTCTTAATCACGAGGACACCTTTAGTAATCAAGAGGGCATGATTACTTGATACTGATTGAGCCTTTTTGCAACTTGACTGGATGAAGCCGTGTAACGTTGTTAACTGTATTTTGAGAATAAAATGTACGTTGAATCTATTGATCAGTTATGTTTGTTTTGACTTTTGTGGCGGTATTGAAAGGGCTTAATCGCGAGGATATCGTGTGCGAATGCGATTCCCTCAAACATTTTGGGAAAACGTTAATAATACGCGTGAAATTAGTCCAGGCCCATGCGATTTCATATAAAAACGGTTCCTCTCAACAATATCCTTCCATTCTAGGCTCTCATAAAAAATAATTTAAGTATCTAACCTTGTACCCTCAGCTGTGTTGAACCAGTTTCGGAGCCATATATGTTTCTCGCAGTACACGCGTAGTCTCCCTCGTCTTCTTTCCTTATTTTACTAATTAACAGAATTTTTCCAGACACAACAGCCCTGCTGGGTAAGGTCTTGCCATTTCCTCGAGACCAACTTATTATTGGTTGTTGCCTTGCCTTGGCAAAGCAGTAAAACCTAACATCATCTCCCTCTGTCTTTGTTCTTTTCATTGGCCTGATCATAACACTTGGTAAGAATTCCGCTTAAAAAAAAAATGGTCCGGCAAACTGTCATTATTTGATCTAAGGTACATTTTATGTTCATTGTTTAGGTATTTATCTAAACCGAGATTTCAAGGAATATCCACCTTGTTACTACGGAAGCAAGCAATAGAAAGTTGCTGACAGAGACAATCAAAGGCTTTCTAAGTGAGGTACATATTATTTTTCTTGAGAAGCATACTAATTCTTAATCATACTCTGAGCAGAAATTACCACGCAGATACCTTCACCTTAAAAGAAATTTCTTGTTCAGTCAGAAGTTTCCATTACAATTTTTAAACCCAAAAATGATAGCAATCAGTCCATTGTATCCTTGTTTACAATGAACTCATGCGTAGCATCTAAATTACAACGATGGATTCAATTTATCTCACCTGGTAGCTTGATACACTTTCTGCCAGGTTTGTTGGGATCCCCAGAATATCCCTTTGCACATCTAAACAGCATAAACTTGATATTACAACGATCACAACACAAAGTAAAAACGAAGTCTGCTATGTCAACATCACCAGAAAACCACCTGCATAATCATGCATTTCACACCGTGGTTTTCATGTAACAACAACGTAGTTTCAACGAAGCAAGTTGATTTCAAAAGTGTAACTGAAGCGTTTGCGGTTAAGACGACTTTACCTATTACATGTTCTTCCTGTATAACCAGTTTGACAGCCAGTGCAGGCAGGTAGACCATCTGATTCTATCTTGCAGGTCTTGCTGAACCTGTTTAAAAGAGCAAATCAGTTATGAAAAAAGCATATAACCGGAACCAATTTTTTTAAAATTCATTTATTTACTCACTGATTCGAAGAGACTGTTAAAGGGCATGGACACGGTTGACAATCTTGAGGCGTGCCTCTAGTCGCGTCGCCATAGAAACCAATTGCACATGTCTCACACCTGGAGCCTGCGGTATTGTGATCACATTTCTGACAAAAAATAATTTTGAGATACACAAATCCCCTTCTTGCTACACTAGCTCTAACAGTTATCTATCATACATGATCAAATGAGAAATGACGGCCGAGAGGTTTGTGCACTAATTAGTGCACTGAGGGTTTGGACTTCCTCATCAGTTTATACTGATCTTATGAAAATATTTATAGCCTTTGCAGTTGTAAGAATAAACCTCTCCCCGATCTGTTGTTTCATATTAGAATATGCATGTACAGGAGTAAATTTGGGGCCTTGCAGTTTCACGTAATTCCCAGTCCCTTTTGTAGTATTTACTCACTACACATTGTCCTGTCTCTGGATCACATTCTTTTGAGTGTTGATTACAGGAACATGGAACACAAGGGGAGAAATCCGGGCCTGGGTAAGTCCGTGTGTATCCACGAGCACAACGCTATAAAATGATATGAAACCAAAAAACTGTCATGAACTTATGACCGCACTTCATCGTGTTCATGGGGAAGGATTTACGTAACGTTTTTACAGGACATTTTCCAGGTTTTCGTATTGTACCATTGCACTTAAAAATATAATGGAGCCCTCTACAGATATTCCGAAGTAAAAGCTCGCTTTTTAACTTCCACTGAGGGGTGAAAACTATTCGATACAAGTTTGAAAAAACTAGGACCGAATTTCATTTCAAAAATCAGAAAGAAGCTAAACCGAATAATAATGCGTCTTCAGAATTCGAAACAACAAAATAATACTTACAAAGTTCTTCTAACCGAAGATTGCTGGAATTATCTGACGCTTAGCAAAAGGATTCGACAGAACTATATCCTATTGTAAGCCTGCAAGATTACCTGACAAGATGTTCCAGTGTACTCTGGTGGACATCTGCATTGTTCAATTTTCTCAGCTTTTCTAAATCTCGTTACTTGAGGGACAGCTGTCTCCACTTTGACTCCGTAAAGACTGATGCAAACAAAATAAAGATAACGTTAGTGGTCTGATTTAAATCATAAATACAAGGTTACATACAGGAAGAAAAAAAGTTTTAACACAAATAGCCAAAGAACCTTTACACAACGTTGCATGCAATCCTAGTTCTGTAAGTCTGTGTTGCACTAAGTAGTAATGTAGACATTGAATGTGAGCCATATTAGTACTGTAAATATGAATTTTTACACTGGATGGGGTAAAATTAGAGGTGATCATATTGTGGCAGAATCAAATGAGATATATTGTAGTTAAAGTAATTAAATTCTGACCTAGCTTTTGTAGTAGTTGTACTGTATGTCGCACGGACTAAGATGCTATCCACGGCGGACAAAACCGTCATCACAGTATCTCTGGTCGTTTCTGCGTTATCCGGGTACCTCAGCCAATCCTGCATGATTGGTAATAATAATAGAACTGAGTGGAGTTCAATGTGGCTGTAATCATACGAGTGGTAACAAAATCGGACGACCGTGCAGCGGAAGTCCGATCTGTATATCACGAGTATGATTACAGACCGGATTGGATGACACGAAGTCTTATTACAATTAATCGTGAAAAAAAATTATGATTTCCGAGAAAAGAAGAATAGCCATGTTACGAAAGAAAGGGAAAAATTTTCATAAAAAGACTAACAAAGGAGGCCTAAATTGTTTGAAGTCGTTCTGAAATTTAAGAGTTTATGAGTCTTTACACTGTTTCTATGGTGATTGAAACCATGGTTGTGATTGGTTGATTCAAACTACAACTTTGAATACGATTGGTTGATTTAAACTACAACTTTGAATGTGATAGGCTTAATAGGCCCTGACCAGGACCACTAAAAGTTAAGGTTTGAACACCTGATGTGCGACTATGCTACAGAATTTCGAAAAGTTGCAATTTAAATTATGCGAAGTACAAAGTTAAAAATAAAACTCAATATGTAATTCAATTGGACTACCTTTCTCTTCGTTTCTTTGCCTGGACTCTAAGATCATCCATTTTAGTAAATTTTTAGTTCTGAAGTGGAAATTCCGAGCCGTTTTAACAGTAATTTCACGAGTGATACACATTCACAAGATATATAGACGCCATTTTGATTTTGTGATTGCCACGTGACTCTGGACTTTTGTGTTCTTTCCTTTTAGTTAACGCTCCGTTAAAAGCCATGGGGCGTTTATTCAAGGTTTTCATTTTAAACTAGAGGAAATCGAGGGCTACTTCATTTTGGGATGGGCCTCTAAGAAATCAAGGAAACTGGCCCGACTGGCCACCAAGTACTGGAGTTAATTTTTAGCCCTGAACTTGGTGAGTGAAGTAGTAGAGAATGGGAGTTGTTTACACCCATCACAATCGAGGACATTGTAATTTTTATAATAAAGCAAGTTATTTGACTTCTACAGGAAAGAGGTTAGTTTTTACCTGGTTGTTGTTGGCAAAATAGTATATCTTTAACATTAAACACCTATAATTGATGACAAACCCGATGAATCAGAGCAACTGGTTCGTTCGGATATAACTGAACACACCAGATTGCCTTCAGTGTCGAAAAATGGAATACAATGCTATATGAAGTTTTAGTAACTCCTCACCTCTGACAGTTTGAGGCCGAATGTCTCTTTTTCCCCTGCCTTAAGTCTTCTCCTATGATGAAATATTAGAACTATCCCTCTACCCTGTTAACAAAAAATTGGCAAAAACATCATCGAAGCAAATTAAAATGAATTAGAAAAAGAAGCCCTATAGTGAACTCAAAAGTAGCGGGTGTTCTTCTATAGTTTTTACCGAGTTGAAGTTGTGCGGCTCATTTTAGAAATAATTCATAACAATGGCAATATATCAACCAATCAATTTCTCTCTTTCTCGTTATTTCTTTCTTATCTTTGTTTGCCGGTATGTGCAACTTTTCACGCAGCACTACCAGCCCCTCCCCCCCTCAAAAAGAGAAAACCTTTCAATAATAATTTTCGCCAGAAACGTTTGACATTTCTGCACAACGCATGAAATTACTCCAGTAGCTACGGTAACCTGATTTTTCTAAAAGCGCAAGACAATGAACATATACTTCCAGCATAAAATTTTTCGAAACTAGACCGACAAACAAAACAAGCTCGAGAATAACGATTTAGGTTAAAACGTCAAGTGACCTTACACAGCTTTCAAGAATCAATAGCATGCGAAGTTCCGATTGACAACACCACTAATTGGTGTATTAAAGTTCCGAATGACAGCACCACTAATTGGTGTATTAAAATTCAACTAATACCCTCAATTGGACGTCAGTTGCAGAAGTCAGCTCACCACCTGGCTGCATTTCATGCGACACTGTGTATCGTAATATACCGTCATAGCTTGTGATCTAAACAAATCAAGAGGTCAGTAAATTTTCCTTTGATACTTACCAGTAAAAAACTTTATTGAGGTGGGAAATGGATTGCAAAACATTCTGCCTAATATTTTTATTGTAGGAATTTCCCTAGGTCAAACAAAAGCATTATCACATTATCAAGTGAACGCGAACAGCGAGCTTTTGAAACAATTAGAGAGGTGGGTCGCCTCCGTCGCTAACAAGTCACGGAAAGGAGACTCGAGGAAGCTGCAGGGTGAACTTACCATGTCACCTCTAAATTCCTCTCCCAAAAACCAGTAATAGGTCATTACCGGTGGTTTGCCAAAGTCATAGACATAATGTCCCGGATCACCCTCTATTTCATAGCCAGAACTTATCATTGAGTCCCGTGATAAGTCCGAGAGACGTAAGTAGTTTGGGCCATCCAGTAAAGCAATACGCAAGGGAATCTGAAATACAAATTTGAAGTGTTATTAGGACATTACCAAATTACAGGAACTGAAAACATTTGCCATGCTTGGTACAGTAAGGTACGAAAAAGAATTTTCCATCAAGATTCCGCCAGTTTTAAATGTTTTCAAATTGTCACCAAACCATTTCTTCTTTGGGTATGAAACAAACCGCCTCGAGAGACGCAATCTTTTGAGAGGCTTAATATTCCTAATTCTCAACTCCTTTTTCAAACGGGACTTTTGGCTTCTTGAGGGAATTATAAAATAGACCATGAATGATAGGTGGAAGTTTTGACGCCAACCTTTTAAGCTCCGGTATCGTGGAGGTCACGAGTGTGACTCCGAGACGAGCCTGAATTTTCTCCAGGTTTTATTTTCACTACTACCTAGTAGTCTTCATTACTGCGAAGATCGCTCTCATCTTCAGTTTTTTATCCGCAGTTCAAATATACGTTATTCATATATTTACAGTCGTCCTGATTCATCTCTACACGGGTTTATTACGAAAACAATGACCAGCTTTCAGATGGAGTGCTCTACCAACTGAGCTAACAAGCCATCGGTATCGTGGTCATTTATTCATCACATCAAGGGTTTATTACGAACCAACAAAATGACCAGCTCCCAGTTGGAAGAGAATTTTGCTCCGGTGTCGCAGAGGTCATGGGTTCAACTTCCGTACGAGCGTGAATTTTTCCTAGGCTTTATTTTAGCTAGAGCTTAAGTAGTGTTCTTTACTGCGAAGATCACTTTAATCTTCAAACTTTGAAAGCAATACGCTATTTCCGAGATGCCTCATTCCGCTACTTTATAGCAAAAGTGAGTGGGAAGCCTTTCAGTGATGTTAGAAATATTCTTAATTTCTAGCTTTTGATTGGGTAACCGCAAATTTGGGTACGGTAACAGTCGTCATTTACTTACTATTTCTTTATAATAATCAGCGCATTTACAATCAGCAGACACTCCAAAACAAAAACAAGGCACACATCCCTGAGGATCGTCCGACTGCAAGTTGAAGAAGGATCGCTTACAGCTGTCGCACTTACTTCCTTCAACATGTTTCTGTGGAGACAGGAAGTGAGTAATAATTGCATGAATACATCATCGCCATCTTTGCATTTGACATTTTGCTATATATAAATTCTAGCAAAATTACGCTGCAAAGATGGTGATTATACGTCGGTTATGCAATCTAACATTAGTCAGGTTATTGCGCTATTTCATTTGACATTAACTATCCACAGCTGATAGAATTTTAGCTGTTCTAAATGTACTGTAATGTTGACTATGCTGTTCAAAACAATTGGAAATAACTTGATGACAGTGTTATGTTCACTTCTTTAATCTACAAAAAAACCTTCAGCAAGGACACCACAACTGCAGTGGAAATGTTTCTATGTTTTTCTCTGATTTTCTTCTTTCTGATAGAATGGTGGAGCCATACGACACACACAAGTTACTTTAAAATTCGAGAGCGTTCCAAATTCAGCCCGTCTTAGAGATCAAGTAAGACGATGTCATCAAGTGATCGATCCACTTGAGGGCTGTCTCTAAATCGCGTGTGTATAAAAGTAGCTGTATATGTGGCCGAAACCATTCCGCGTGGTCATCGCCTTGTTGGTTGTGTAAGAGTGAGATCGGCGGAAATATATTGCGTGACATCTTGGGCTCTACATTAAAATTGCTAAAAAAAACATGAATCAATTGATCTTTGTAGGATCTTGAGAAACTAAGGATCATTTATAATAATGAACCAGTTTATCTTCGCGGCTAAGAATCAAACAGTCATCGATCTTGTAACATAAAATAGTCGCCTCTCTCTACTCTTTAGACTCCGGTTGTACTTGACACAGTACTATGACCTACTATGAGCCGTCAGTTAGCACCTTGCTCTCAAAATCATCATTTGACGCCAATTGAAGTCACCTTTCGTGTTTGAGATCTTATAGCATCAGCATATTTTCATCCTATTATAAAACATCGTTAAGAAGACGGTCCCAAGACGATTAGTTTGTTGTTTCAAGGATAGCCTTCGGGCTCTGATAGAAAGAAAGCTGATGCTGCCGGCTTTGCTTTTGCCTTGGAAAACTGATATTTGATCTATATCCAATTTGGGACCAAAAAGAGATTTGGCTCCTGTAAATATCCACTAAAAAATTATATCAAACCAGGGTGTATGTTGCCTTCAGCAGATGTTGCTATAAATAGACTAGAACTCCTCGTAATTATTGTTGATCTTGTCATTTAGTTGTAGCATACGGTTTCTCTGGGAACAGCGAAGTGTCGTCTACTAAACTATTTCATTACTCTGTCATATGTCACAAGGCACTCAACATTGTAAGCGATAATGCACGAGCACTTCCCATTAACAACATGTCGGCTCTGTCGGGTGGTAAGATAAGCTTATGTCACAATACTGGGTTTATTTTGGCCTCTGCGAAATGGCAATCATTGAGCATAAGCTCAAGTTCTTTGCAAAATCAGAGATTGATAAAATGTGAAAAGAAAATAGGATATGTGAGCGTACAAAAATATTTACATAAAACAGAGACGAAGGGGTCCGTAAGAGATCCACAGGGCACACGGAAAATGGAATGCCATAGCAAAGAGGAAGTGATGGCTAATTTTACAAAATAAACACATTTTGGCAAAAAGTCTGATTTTTCTTCCACTCAGTTCATTAAACTGACAGAACCAAGCAGGTGAAAGGTCACTTTGAATGGAGCACGCATACTTCACTAATAAAAAATTACAACCATTCATCTCCACGAGGAGAGTTCAAAACTTAAATGAGAGACATAAGCACAACGTAGCTTTCCCTAATTTGGCAAGAAAGTAAACGATGAATATGAAAATTATCGCATCTGTTTGAGAAATAACCTCTGTCTGGGTGGGCACATACGGGTTTTAATTAAAAGCTTAATCTTCCCTGCCTGCGTAAGAACAGCTCCTCGAATGGTGTAAGAAGAAAAACCCTATTTAAATTACATAAAACATCCATGCAGTCGGAACACCCTTTTAGACTGTAATATTGAACAGCTGTAGATGCCCTTTAATTTGCAAAATCCAATAGGTATCTGTTGTACAAATTTTACCGTACCACTTGTTGTTTCAGAAACATAGCTTTAGGTTTAGTAGGGCTAATCTATCAATAAGTGGCAAAGCTTACCCTAGATGAAATGGGCGAAATCCAGATCAGAAAATGCAGGAATGCAGCAGTAATCGGAAAGAAATACTGATTCATTCTATGGCTTGATGGATAAGCAGCTTTCCTTCGGAAGATTTCCCAAACGGTCTTTAGGACAGATAGCCGACTAGATGACACTCAAGATTACAATCCGAAAGATCATTTTTAGAGGCTCTTTAGGAGAACTCGGTTCCTTGTAATGGAGTTCAAGCTGGGAATGGTTTGATCAACCGAAAGATTCTCAACTCCTGTCGCAGTTGATGAGCATAACAATTGAGGAAAGTGTCAATTGAAACCCAATCCGACAACTTTTGGATCTTGCCATGTTCTGTCTCCCTGATAAAAGCCCGCAAGATAAGTGATGATCTGGTTACGTTGTCGGCATCTTCGCACCTCTCTTGCACAACAAGGCGCCCGACGAGACAAAGTCAGAAGGAAACCGAGTTGAAAGAAACTTTCGTTCAGTTTACGTATCGATATACATTACGTGAAATTATCCACAGCGTTAAAAAATTACTTTCTTTTAAGAACAGCTTGAGAAGAGTTTTAGATGAGTAACTTTCAATAACTAGATCAGATTAATGATGGAAAGGTTATCAATAACCCTCCTAACTTGACCACGCTCACGAAAAAGAGTGATTCAAAATTCAAAAATCCAGACAACCCTCTCCACACTCCCGAAAAGTAATTTACAATGCGTAGTTTCACTCTAGCCAAAATAGACTTCTTTCAAAGCAAGGATCGTGGGAACGTCCGGTTACTCAGGAAGTTGATATTTCCATGTATAGGAACGACAACTTCTGTCGCTCCTGAGGAATTTTGCTCTCCTCCTATCTTATCACAATTAACATACTTTCACTAAAGTGATCACATTATAAATTGACAATTTGAAAAGAAAGACAATGCACTGTTTTGCTTACAACAGACCAATATTTATCTACCTTTTAGTGGTGCTTTTCTTACAGACCAGGTATGTTGTCTAACACTAAGCAAGAACCAAAGCGAAAGTCAGAGAAATTACGTTCTATTGTGTATAACAGAATTTTAAACGCGAATGCCATTTAATGAAGGATTCTCAAATGCTGAAAATCTGCGGCTATTAAAAACAGAACAGCAATGCTAATCGGAAGAAATAACAGGCATGCAATTTACCGTAAAGCATTTGTGACCTAGAGAAGGGAGACCCATACAATGATACACGATGACGAAAATAGCAGAAAAAAATTCGCAAAGATACCGTTTGTTGTGTCTACAACTTCCTCGGGTCACGTCTTGGATGAAAGTTTATGGGACGTAACAAAAGAAACCCGAACTTAAACCAACAGAAACCTGGATTATTTACTTACAAATATATCTGCCTGTCAAAGATTATCAAGTACGGAAGACGCAAATTACCCCTCCTCACAGCAAAGATTGCGATAACAAGGATGCATGGATGAGAGGCAAACTTTACGCACTGTCAAAATGCTAATTTCTCGAAAGTCGTTTTGACGAGCGAGTCACAGTTGTCTAGTCGAAAAAAAAAAAGGAAAAAAAAAAAACCTTAAAGGCTGGCAGTTCGTGTTGCGCTAATTTCTTAAATCATATCGTCGACATTTTTAATTTCTGAAGCTTGGTTGATCACAAAACAAACACTGTTTAGATGGACAGAAATCTCCGATACGCAGCGGGATCGAAGAAGCAAAGGAAGAGAGTAATCTATATTTGGCGCTATTTTTAAATCGAACAGACAAAATATGTTTTACAGATTTGAGATCAGGTCAGGTTTGGGAGATCGGCAGTCGGTATTTGCTTGAGGTCGGTCAACACGCGAAAACTCACATATATAATTAAATTACAGGACTTCAAATTCTTCTTATAGTACCCTTCGTATGAACGCCGTGTAAGTAGTTCCAATTTAAGAAAGAATGTCACCAGAAAGTACGCTGACATGCTGAGGAAGGGCCGATGGAACGGGAAAACGATGAGTTAATAATAAATTTCATTACCTCTTTGTTTTCATCTACAATGAAATTCCTGACACAACTACTGCAAAACCAGTGCACTGAATTAAAAAGTGCGCGAGCGTCATTGAGACACTTTAAAACTATATTTTGATACTATAGGTCAACAGAGCATATCGCCACTTACTAAACTGTCAACTGTGACTTCGGACGCAAGTCGCGTGCCGAATGTAACGGTTTCCAGATGAAAAGTGAAATTTGAGGTTGGATACAGCTCAGCACTAACGTTGTGCGCTAATGACGTAATGAAATCGTGACGACTCGGACAAAAAAAGTCTAGCTCTGCTCCTTATACTCATTACTGTCGTATAAGACAAGTCGCCTCTTAGTATACCCGGCGTAACTGGCAGTTTTGTAAGTACGTAGATACGCTAAGCGGTGGGGGCCTTGAAAACGAGTTGCAAAGCCGCGAGAGGCTCGGAACGGAAGATAGTGATAAAGGTTTTTTCCGCTCTCGCGGCTTGGTGGCTCATTGTTTAAGGCGCACATTTAGTTCTGACTACGCAGGCTACTCAGATACATACTTTAGCTTTCATCACTCACCTTACAAAAGCACTGTGTGGTAATAGGATCACAAGAACTGTTGATCGAGCCACGAACATCACATCTACAGTCGACTTCCAAATTTGCAAAAAATTAACAAAAAAGAGTGAGAGAGAAATCCTAATTGAAATGATAAAAATAACTTATCCGGTATTATAAAGGTATTAAAAAAACAAGATGTAAGCCTTTAACATCTCTTGTAATGTAGTATATTTAAAAAAGTATGTTCGGGACAAATATTCCAAACTTTTAAGTGTTGCATCGACTTTGCAGATATATCTGATATAGGAACACTTTAAGATAAAATCAAAATCTGGCAAATTCTCACCTAAGTTGCATTTTCCTCCTGGCTCGGTTGGATTTCCAACATAGGACTCAACACACCTACAAACAATAGGAATATGTTTATTAAAAATTTTCACTTAAACTGAAAACTGTTTATTGGTTGATAACCAGACAGTGTTCGGGAAAGAAGCCCGCGATCCATGGGAGGATCGAAGACTGGACTCGAGAAAGGGGGAGGGGAAAAGAGCTCACTGGGCATGAAAGAAAGGGATTTTATATTTGAAGCACGAAAATGACTGGTTGACTAGAACTGATCGAAGAACGTTGGGAAGCAATGGTGTTAAAACGCAGGCAAATGACATCGATCGTGGACATAAATCAATAATGTCACCACTTATTTATAAAGCAGCATTCGCTCATACTTCTGAACCCTAAACAATAACATTTATGGAGGGAAAGAGGATGGACAAAATGTAAATTTTGACCTTTATCTAACATTTTTCTACAAGTTTGGAGAGGTTACTTAATCGTTTGAGGCTTCATGAGAAGTGACAAGTTATATAAAGTAAGTACAGGAACTTTCTTCTTTCTAACACACCTGTCGCATTTTCTACCCCCATATCCTGGTGGGCATGCATCGCAGGTTGGTTCATTATCCTCTGCCATGAAACACGTGGGACTAAACCTGGAAAATAATTCAAATGTAATGAAAACGTTCAAAGAATGAAGATACAATGCATTGCAATTTAACGTATTCTAAACTGCTGGCAAAGTTCGCGTAAAACAGAAAAATAATGCACGGCTTCTAAAAATATTTTCAATGTTTTAGACTACAATACTATTTGTTTGACTCGTTAGGACAAACCTGGTTCGAGTTATGAAGGGTTGATTTATGAAAGACATGATCGGAAGGGAAAAGTAAACAGCTCATAGTTCGAGTAGCGTAATGTTCGAGTTATTGAATGTTTCGAGTTACGGTGGATTTTTCAGTAATTGTATGCCGGAAGTCCAGGAGAAGTCGATGTTGTTTCAATTCAGTTCAGGGCACAAGTTTTCGAGGGTTCGAGTGTCATGAGAAGTTCGGTTAATTTCGCCTTTCTTACCTGTTTGGTGGCGACGTCATTGGGCAAGGACAAGGCTTACAATCTGATGGTTGGCCGATTGTTGCGTTTCCATAGAAACCAGTCACACACTTATGACAGCGAAACCCTTCCGTATTGTACTGGCAATTCTGTTAGAGTAAACGTCAAGAAATATAATATGTCCAGTCACTGGGTAATAAGCAACGCGTTACGTCGGACTGGCTCACCTTGCATTCTCCTGTTTCAGGATCACAGTAGTCATCAAGTGAGTGCCCGTTACAATCACACTTTATGCACTTGCCAAGGTGTGGACCAACACGTGATCGATAGTAACCTGCTTTACACGACTGGTGAACGTAAGAAAGAACAGTTTTCATTGAATACATAGTTATCAGTGATGAAACGGTTGAAAAAAACAAGAGAAATATGCCATTTGTGAGAACTCAGAGTAAATATCAAGGATTGTGTGACCAGTTTTCACGGAGGGATGGAAATAAAGTGAGTCGAACCTACCTCACAGGATAAACCTTGGTACTCTGCTGGACATACACATTGTTCAACCGAGCTAACACGAGGCTTATTAGTGACGGCATTAGTTGTGGTGTCCATGGAAACTTCACGAAGGCTACAAAACATTAACAATCAAAGAAAGGAGTGAGGATATAAAATTGAAATTAGGTTCTGGACTTGATTTCTGTCCATAAGAATTTTACAGGTGGCTCTTTCAAAGGATGGGAAATCAGAAATCGTTAGGGATGCTCGTGTCAATATGAACAAACTATTTTGTAGATTACGGTTCATACCACCATCCAATATTTCAAAAATTATGAATCAAAGATATAACCATTTATAAAAATGGAAATGTTTTTTGAAAGAATAGCTCATACTAAACCATTACTATTTACAGAAACGCAACTTGAACTTTCTTAAGCCTAGTTGTTAATTTTTCACTTGTTAACGAGGCTTGCAAGGGTAATTATCGTGACTACAAACGAATAACTAAAAAATGGCAAACATTTTGTTCATCATACGTTGTCTGAAGCATCTGAGTATTATAAGAAGCTCTGATCAAAAGTGCCTCAATATGGTGCAAAGCCTTCATAAGTTGGTTTCGTGATATCTCTCTATTGGTGTTGTCAATCCAGGAATTCTGAAAGAGTGAGATTTAATTTCAACGATAATTTTCTTTAATTTCATATCGAGTAAATTAGAAAGAAATTCAGGAGAGAATGAAGGGATTGAGCCTCAAACCTCTTCAAATATAACTTGGTAACCTCCTGCCCGATCGTTTCCGGTAGGACTACGTTTGTAGTGATGAAGTGTTATGTCTCTTCCCTAAATAAAAATAATAACAATAATAGATAATAATGATAATAATAGATAATAATAAAGCTTTATTCACAACTTAGTCAAAATATTCACAGATGAATATAGAAGGAAAAAAATCGTGCTTTATGTACAAAAATGTATCTTAACTCAGAAGAACTTGCATAGCTAAGGCTATGACTTATTGAATAGATAAATCACTCCATAATACTTATTGCTGCTACTCACAATTAAGATGATATCTGGCGCGTATAGTGTTTCTCCATCAGAACTCGCCTCGTGTGAGACAACAAAGCTAAAATAACCACCGTATGACGTCAGCTGTAAACAAAAATGTAAGGTAATTTAAAAGTTTGTCTACATCTAGTAACTCTATGCGACACAACTCCCCTTAAAAAGTCTTTCGAAACTCACCCTATTCCCTGTATATTCTTGGGGCAGCTTCCAGTATAAAATCTCTTCTTGAACGTCGTCCTCCACAAACGACTGAAAAGTCAGTTCCTTTGTTAGGGGATTAACGAAGAGATCTGAAGAGTTTACTGGGGAACTGTCAGATGTGACAAGAGTAAAATTCTTCTGATCATCCACCGAGAAGGTAGAACGTATCTGAAAAAAGCAAAAGGACGTGTATCGCTCTGTATTTCTAATGCAGTGTTTCCGTGCAGTTGCGTTTTAAATGTTTTAAACGAACCAGATACTATAACAATACAGCAGTAACAGCTTGCAATGAACAGTCATATAAGAATATCCACAAGCTAAAAAGTGTATTCTTTGGTAAATTTCAGCAGATGTTGCTAATTTTAATGGTAGGAACTCTTACATAATGCGTGCATTTCTCAGATGTATTAATACATGTAAAATCTCTTAACTTGACTGTTACTGTAGCTTGAAGGAGTCCTAAAACTTTTCTTCTAAAAATTCAACTACAGCTTCAACACTCAAACCTACTCTTGGCTTTCAATACTCTTATTTTCAATTTTGTCTACAACTACTCTGTAACAATGAACGCTTTAGTTGCTAACCTGAGTTTTATTTAGCATAGCACTTTGGCAGCTGTCAGAAACTCCATTGCAAAAACATGGTGTACAGCCATCGAGATTATCCTCTTGCAAATTGAAAGATCCTGGTTTACAAGTGTCGCAGGTATCACCTCGGACGTTACGCTGCAAAGGTAAACGACATAAAAGGATAGCTTTCATCAAAACGTTACAAATGAGGAGAAAGCTCGCATTTTCTGAAGTTATATTTTACAAAAAGAAGCGTCGACGCAGGTAAGGATTTTCTGTATTTTCTATCGGCCTAAGTACAGTACTTGGAAGACTCAACTAGTTTTTGAACTTTCTATTTACCGCAAACGGGTTGAAAACCTTTAAGAAACTCAGAAATGCCACGCTGCTTAGGATACAGCATTTCAAAGCTATATTCGGGATTGGTAAGGATGCAGAGAATAATAACTACGCATATTTTATTAGCCCTAAGGGGTATTATTATACATAATTTTTTTGGAACTTTCAACAAGATGCCAACCTATAATATAGACAGAAAAATGTGGCGAAATTCCGTTTTTACCTTGCACAGACATTTCCGAGCGTCAGAATCAGTGTCTAAACTGCCGCGAGTGTCACACTCTGTTGGTGCTACACGAAGAAGCAGCGGAATAGGATGAAATGGTTATAGTTCGTAACTGAACTGATCATGAAAATTAACAAATTTGCAGGTTGGGCACCAGCAGAGAAAGACGAGAAAAGTGAGAAAAAAGAGTAGAAAATCCGAAAAAAAAAACAACAACAACAAAACACTTTGAATATGAGCAGGTCGAATAGAATAAAAGCTACCTCGACGAATTGCATTGTCTGCTGAAGAACCACTTTATGGATAGAAACTATGCTTATAATATCTTTGTTCCCGTTTATTCAAAACAAACTTATGGTGCTAAAGAACAGACAAACTTTGGCGTTACCTGCTAGTTCACATTTGGAATAATGTATCATGGGATCTCCTGTGTAGTTTATTGCACATCTGTAGGTAGGCACAAAGTACGCGGATTTAACTGCAGCTTCTCAAGTTTCATGTAAAGTATGAAAGACACAAGAGGGGCAATGTGTTGTGCAAAACACTGTTCAAACGCATAAGACTAGCTATACAATTGCATGAATTTTGAAGCGCATGACCAGTTACACAAATGGCGTTCCTCACATGCTGCTTAAGTTGTGAGTTCCCAAAGGCACCGCTGAACACAACACACTTACAACTCGCAATTTCGTCCAGAATATCCTACAGGGCATGCGTCACAGGTTGGAAGATCGTCACTGTCTAAGAAACAAGTTGGACTAAACCTGGAAACAGATATCAGAAAATATAAACGAAACATTAGCTACACTATACTGTGGCCATATGCTGGTGAAACAACTACATCACGACGAAGATATAGACCAAATCGTCACCAGGCTATTTCATTAAAAAGGCACGAGCTGTGGAAAAGTTCCATTAAAATAGTCGAAATTTGCTGCTTATCTCATGTTGCTGCATAACATAGAGGATATAAGAAAAATTAAGGTAAAGAATAGAGGCGTACTGGTTTGGAGATATAGTCAGCGGACACGGGCACGGCTTGCAGTCAGCGGGAGTTCCTCTCAAGGCGTTTCCAAAGTAACCCAGCCGACACCTGTCACAGAGCGAACCTTCGGTGTTATAACGGCAGTCCTAAATAAAAGATTTGGCGGTGAGGTCATAAAGACACGAAGGGACAATCAGGGAATACATAACAGCATCCACTCAGCTATGACCATCGATTGATAAAGGTTGATAAAAACTTATTCTCGTCAAGCTCTGCGTGCTCTTGACGTTTCCTGATAATGTCTATAACGCAAAAACCACATTTCGCATAGCCCAAATACATTTAAAGTATCAAGCATATATTACAGTAAGAGGAAAACTGTAATATATTTCTCTGAGAGGAAACGAAAAACTCACAAAGCAAGTGCCATTTTCCTGGTCACAAACATCTGAATGTCCATTACACGAACACTTTTTACAACTGAGTCCATCACTAGTTCGCGTGTAGCCTGGGGAACAGTACTATAAAAAAAAAAACCAACATGAGAAGGATTTAGAGAAATTATTTTGGCAAAGTCAACTGGTCTGAAACCAACCTATCACATACTCCCCCCCAAAAAAAGCACCCGTCTAAATTCAAGTTTGCTATGAGCCCCTTCCGTAAAATGATATCGCTTCTAAAATAGCGATACCATTGTGTAATTAAAAGTTACTAGGTATGACGCACGGTTTCAGGACATAACTTTCTTGTAACTGAACGTCTATATCATCGTAGGTTTACCACCAAAAAAGTACATACTATGTACCAAGAACTCGGTAGAAAAATAATGTATCGTATTTTGTCCCTAGGTGCGTTTTCAACAAGCATCCCTTTCTCTCCCTGGTGAGGCGTCCAGTCGAATGAGCCTCACTTCTGGATATCTTTGAAATCATCAAACAACTCTGATTATTTATCACAGTTTCTATGTTAGAATGGTAGATGAAAAGAGAAAAGAGTTCAAAACTTTGCAACGTATCACACATTTTTGTCTTTTTAAGAAAAACAAATAGTTGCAATCATTGTTGAAAGGAACTTATAAAAAAATGGTTACATTGGCCACACAAGGTGATCCATTTCCCTACATTTAAGTCAATGCAGCATCAAAACAATGCAAGGTGATGATTTTTTTTAATATTGATACCTTGCTTCGTAGATAAAATGAACACTGAATTGATAACTTACTTCACAGGACAGTCCGTCGTATCCTTTTGAGCATTCGCATTTTTCCACCAACAAGGCTTTGCCATAGCCTGCGTCTTCTTGAGATGCCACGTCGAGAGAGACATCTTTAATGCTTACCAAACAGTAAAAGATGTCAGTGTAAATCTCTTAAATGGAAAATGTTTCTTTCAGTAGTCACAAAGAAGTAATCACGTACCTAACTGACTCGACTAAACTGGAGCGTCGATCGCCATAAGAGGCTCTTATGAATATTCCCTGAACATCTGACAACACCCTCATAAAACTATCCCTGGAGACTGGCACTCCATCAGTTGAAATCCATCCCTCCTAAGAATGATGAGGAATAAACAATCAATCAATAATCCGTGTGGCATTTGAAAATATGCTCAAATGTTTCTCGCACAATAACTCACTAGACTATTGAAATGGAGGTAAAAAGGTAAGGTACATAAATCCTCTAACTTCAATATTTTTGCTCATACCTCAATAAGCTTGATCTCGACAGCAGCTTGGTAATTCCCAGAGCCTGATTGGACTCCATGATAGAGAATTACGCTGCCATCTCTTCCCTATGAGGGAAATAATGGAAGGAAAATCATTCATATAATGTGTGCTAACCCTCTTTCCCTGTCTACCTTGCAAATCATTTAAAAGCAAACTTGAACTTTCAGTTTCTTCAGTGAATATAAAAAATCATCAGTTAAGAATGACTTTTACTTTATTCTAAAGATGATATCTGCTCGGGTGGTCAAGCGTTAACGGATAATTGAAGTCACTTAAAACGATTTTCCAGAACCAGCTTTCTAGTACGAGAACACTGGATAAATCAGTTCTATATAATCCATACCATAATTCGCACTGCCTCTGTTCCTTTCCCAGCCGTAGTAGGTGGAGGGGTTGTGGGTTGAGTTACAGGGGTTGAGGGTGTTACATCTGCTAAAAAATTCAACAATAATGATCAACGAATCGAAAATTTCAAAGATGTTAGGGAAGAGGAGATCTGCTTACGTGTCATGCACAGAACTTATTAAATAAAAAATAGCCCAACGCATGGTGTTGAAGGTGGCATTGTGAAGTTCTTTAGCAAAATTAGATAGGCCCTTTTGCCATCTACCCTGAAGCAAATTTTCTTTTCACAAGTACGCGACACTAATTCTCTTTCGCTACCTTTCGTTACCTTCACAAATAGGAACATCGTCGAACACAACTGAGGGTCCCAACTTCATTACACAAGCAATGGGAAGGACAATTCTTAGTGACAAACATGCTTTTTGCTGGATAAAAATTTCCACTGACTTTAAAAGTAATTGGGGGCTCTAAGTGATATAATTTCATAGAAAAGAATTTTTATCTCTGCACGGTCGCCTGGCAACTTTAAAACTAGAATCCACCCGAAGTGTTAAAAAGAAAAGACGTGAACGGTAGAGACCCGGGATGTAATATGATACGCTCATGGTATTGAATGGTATGCGACTTTGTGAGTAAATAAATAAACACAACCTTGTGTTTCTGTCTGCGACGACGGTTCTTCTGTCGATGTCGTGGCAGACGATGTTGTTTGGGAAGTAGTCTTGGAAGTACCGTAGGCTGAAGAAGGCACAGATGTGGTGGTCTCATCATCCGTTCCGGTCGTTAACCTTGATTTTGTTAGAGCCATATCTGCTATTTTTGTCACTGTTGTCGAGGAAGCACCGGTTCTTCTGTAAGTGACGGGAGACGCAGCCGTGGTTGTTTTTTCGTAACCCGTGGTGGTCATTACCTTTTTCGCGTTAGTTGCATCTGCAGTTGTTGTCTTCATTGTCTGAATACTTAGCGGTCTAGTTACCGTCGTGGTAATTCTAGGAGCACTATGGCCAGAAGAAGGCACACTAGTGGTTGCTCTGCCTCCACCAAGTGGTGAACTTGCAAAAAACGTACCTGATACTGTTGTAAGGGTTTCTGTAGTCTGCTTCTCCGTTGTGTCGATTACGTCGCCAATGGTAGCTGCCATCGTTTTGGTGTAAAATTCGTTTGCAAAGGTTGCTGACTTTTTCCAAATGGCTCTGTCAGTACTGTAGGATGTGGAGGGCATGGTGGTGGTTCTTCCATCGGTAGCGCCGGTCTGATCGGTCAATACTTTCGTCGATGCATGAATTGTTTCAGGTATTGTTGATACAGTCGTCATGATTGTTGTGTCAGTACTGTGGCCTGAAGGAGGAAGGGTAGTGGTCAATACATCTTCGCCATCAACTGCTATTGTATACTGTGTGTTTGCTACTGTTCTCGAGGTAGTCCCATCAGTACTGTAGGCTGAGGGAGACACATCAGTGGTTGTTTCATCATCACTATCGACCGATATTGGACCTGTGGAAGAAGTACCAGATACTGTGGATACGGAGTCTGAGGTTGGTTTCCCCGTTTCATCGATTGTTTTTTTGTTACTAGTGGTAACTACCATCGTTTTCGAATAGACTGCATCTGAAATTGCAGTCGCCATCGTTCGAGTGACTCTGTTGGTACTGTGGAATGTGGCAGGTGCAGCAGTAGCCTTTTCATCCCTTCCATCAATCTGACCTGTCGAGGCTTTCGTTTTTGTGTAAAGCGTATTAGTTATCGTTGATTCAGTTACCACGGTAGTAGTTACAGTACTAAAGTCTGAAGGAGGAGGCTTACTGGTCGATCCATCTCCACCATTGACCATTACCACGTCTGAAGGTGACATATTTGGCTTCTTTGTTGTCGTTCTCGAGGTAAGCCCAACAGTACTGTGGGCTGTAGGATACAAGCCAGTGGTTGATCCATCTTCACCAGGAACCATTGTTGTGCTTGAGGCACTTGATTTGGTTGTTAAAGATTCTGAGGGTGGCCCTTTCTTTATGTAGGATGATGAGACTTCAGTCATAATTTTTTCATTTACTCCATCAGTAGATGCACCTCTTTCTGTGAAAGATATACCTGGTACTGTTTTGGTGTATTCTGTGGCTATTTGGTTAGAACTGTACGTCGTAGGAGGTACGTTGGTGCTCATTTCTTCTACAGTACCAGTTATTCCGGTTTCCGAGGTTGGAATGCTATTTCTATAGGCTGAAGAAGGAGAGGAAGAGGTTGTTTCATCTTGACCATCGACAGAAGTTGTATCTGTTCTAAATGCTATAGTCATTTCTCTCTTGGCACTTGGCCTTTCACTACTAACAACTGATAGATCAATGGAAGTGGTTGCCTCATCTTTGCCAGCGGTAGATGAATCCGTCAGTTTGTACGAAGTACTTGGTACATGTACACTGGCAGTGGAAGGTCCATCTAGACTATCCGTTGATTTCTTCGTTGTTACGTGAAATACATCTGGTGGTCTTTCAGTACTGAAGGATAAAGGAGGCATCGTAGCACTTGTTTCAAATTGTACATTTGTGGATTCACTGGTTTTCATGGATGAAGGATCTGTTGTCGATGTCACGATTTTTGAAAACGGAACATCAGTTTTGTAGTCTGAAGAACTCGGGATGTAAGTGGTTTCATCTCCATCATCGACTGAGGTCGTTAATGTGTAAGCGGTGTCTGATACTCTCTCAGTTTGAGAAGTATCTGGTATTTGTGTGGTAGGCAGGTGTGTGATATGGGCGGTAGGAAGATCAGAGGTAGTTAATGCATTTTCACCGTTTGGTGATATTTTGGTAAAAGACGAATCTGTTACAGATGGCAAAGATTCCGAAGAAAGTTGTTCATTGCTGTAAGCCAAAGGAGATGTTGCAGTGGTAGTGGCATCTTCGTTATCATTCGTCTGGCTTGAAATTGACCTAATTCCATGGGAAGTGGTTTTGACAGAAAATTGGGAAGAATTTATAATACCAGTTGTTTCGCTTTTGGTAATAGTTGATTCATCAGTAGTGCTGTGAAACGTATTTGGATTTGTATCGGTTCTCGAAGTAGAAACGTCAGTACCATCGGGTGAAACAGATACGGTATTTGTCATTTCCTGTTTAGCACCACTCGATGTTATCATTGTCGTTTCAGACATTCTTGGAGGTACTGTAACGTATTCTGTAGTAGCCCCCTCAATGCTGATGTGAACCGTCTTGTGGAGAGCAGTTTTTGACATTTCTGTGAATGAATGATCAATAAGCTCCATGGTAGTGTAGGCTGAGGAAGGCACTGCCGCGGCACTAGTTGAATCCTCTTCTATTTCGGTGACTCGACTAGTGGAAGTGGAAAAAGTTTCTGGTGGTCTCATCTCAGTAGCAGGATCCCTAGTGCTGTAGGTTGAATAAGGTAGGATGGTGGGTGGCCCATCTTGACCACTGTTTGGTGCATTAGGCTCGGAGGGATAAGTATTAGTATCTGGTAAATTGTCACTAGAGGATATCCTACTAGATGTCGTGTAAGCCTTGTCTGGTATTGTTGTCACCATTTCTAACGAAGGACTGTCACTGCTGTAGGTTGAGGATGCTGTTTTGGCTTTTTCACTGCCTATTGACGCATTCGTTGTTGTGTCATACGTGTTTTGAGTAGTTGCGATTGCTTCCGAAATAGATTTCGGGGTGCTCAAGGATGAAAAGAAAACAGTTGGGGTTGCTTCTTTGCGACTTTCAGGCCAAGGATTCGATGTTGTGAGAGAGGGGTCTGGTGTCAATTTCGCAATTAATCGATCAGAAGTTTCTTGAGTGGTCTGAAATGGTAGAGTTTTCCCCATCGTCAGTTGAGTTGCGGTAGTTACCGGCAGCTCTGACTTAGAAAGAACTGAACTAAAAACTCTCTTTGTTGTTCCTCCATTTTCCGAAAGAGTATTTAAGTTGGTGTCTCTGTCAACCTCTACAGTAGGTGTTGTTTCTACATTTTCTGTTATCAAAATGTTTCCTGTGTGTATGGTTGGTGTTGATGGACGTTGTGTTCGTGTTCGTTCGGTTGAGAATTTTATCGCTGCAGTTGAAGCTCCAGGGTTCTCTGTAACGTTTCTAGAGCCATCCGTACTAATAGTGTGTTTTGACGTTGCGTTAGTTTCGGGTAAAATAAAAGGAATTTCTTTAACTCTACTGCTTCTAGATGTAAACTGCGTCGAAATAGTAGACGACATATGTTCTGACATATCCAAAGAAGGGTCCTCTGTTCCAGAGGCGTCGGTGTCAACGTCAATGTTATTATCGTCTACGTCACGGACATCACCAGTGGCATATTCTTCCATTAAGGACTTAATGGTAAGAATTTCTTCTGCACTTCTCACTTGTCTCGATGGAACATTTGCAGTATCCGTCGACGCATTACCACTGAGGTACTTGACAGCGTAACGTAGTTTTCCGCCATAACTTGTCAGCTTCGATAAAAAAAGCAATTCAAACCTTAATAAGGGTGTGTATCTTTACAGAGCCAGCTCTATTTAAATCTCTACAATCAACCATTGCTACCAATTTTCTCATTCGCTAGAGGCGACACCGAAAATTTTCATTTTTTTCGTATAATCTTGACTACAGCAAAGATACAGAAAAAAAGAACACAATCCTGTAAGCAAGAAAATGTGCTAAGTCAACGCTGCGACATAAAAGACAATTCAAACTGTAATCAGACATGAATATTCGCAGTTCACATATATTCACAATCATATAATCTTAAACTTACTTTGTTGCCCAAAAATTCTTTTGGCAAAGCCCAGAAATACACTCTTCCCTTCGACGTACTATGGGCCGATAGCTCATTGTTAAAGCTATCAAGAGTATAGGTAATACCGGACACTTGAGATCCATCCACACCCACCAGTGGCACATTAGGTGGACGGTTATCGGTCGTTAATTTTAGAGTGATCTGGATAAAGACAAACATTACTCAAGGAAGGAAAGTATTTAATAAAATGCGTATCAGTGAGGCATATCATGATAAACACTTGCTTCCTCGCAACCAAATTCTTAAGTTAACACCAAGTTTTTTGACCTACCCTGTCGCGGTACACGTTTGCGCTGCTACAATTCTGAGAACGTCCCATGCAAAAGCACAACGTACATCGTCCTTGAAAGACAGAGAATTTCTCGCCAGGGGCACAAAAACCATCTGTTGGTAAAATTTTAAATCATCGTCATCATGATACGAGAAAACTACATGATGCTGTTGTTTGTTAAGGAATGTCAATAAGCTTTGCTCTGTCTTGATCTCATCTAGCCCAATTGATCACGGAAACACGATTGGATGAGATGAGGTGGTGAAACATTGAAGGTTCTTTTTTTGTAGCCGACAAATTCGCTCAGAAACCTTGCTACTTCATGAGCAGGAGGAGACATGAAACTAAACCTACCGTAGCTCTACATACGAAAAATGAAAAAATTAGTGAAAGTAGAACCAACCACATCCAATTTCGTCACTCCAGTCTCCACAATCATTCTCGCCGTCACACTTCCACTCTTGCCTTATGCATCGTCTATTCCAACAAAGGAAAGCACCGACATCACACACCCTATCGAGACCTAGGACAAATTATAGCGGATGAATAATATTTAAAGGCTCTTTCAGTCGGTTTTCTGCTCCGCAATTAAGATGTATTCTTGTACAGTTTCCTTTTTGTACCATGAAAAAGATCAGCTCGGAAAGATATCTCCGCTATATTGGGGTAAAGGTGAGAGGAGTGATTACAAGGTTTATACTCACTGACTTTTGCAGAGACATTAGAGATTGTTGACGAAATGATTTAAAACTTAATTACCTGGTCGTGAGGGTGCGCATTTTCCACCAATGTGGCACATTCGAAAAAATCTTTGAATAACCATGTTTGGAAGAGCACAGAAGTAGATGTAGAACTCGTCAAGAAGCCCTCTCAGTTTAAACTCCAGTACCTTGTTGACTCTATATCTACCAATAGCATGGAATTCATTCCACGCTAGTTCCAATGATCCACCAGCACTAGGGCCCTGAAGTATTTCCTTCCCATTCACAAATACCGCAGCACGATTGCTGTGAGCATCATATAGCGCTACGATATGTGTCCACAATTGAGTTTCCACAACTGGTTTATTGCTTATCAGCGCAAATGTTGCTATTGGTGGACGAAAAGCGGTGTGTAACCAAGTAACGTGACCTTCAGCAACCTCAAATCGAAGCTCGCCATGTTGTCCTCTTACGACCAGAATTGGCTGAATGCCCTGGATGGTTTGCAAGTTAACCCAGACGGCAATCGTGATCGCATCAGTCATCTTTGCCAACTTAACACTCCTAAATTGAACCTGTTGTAGATCCATGTCGGCGTAATTGCTGCAGGGTGCGTCAACACTTGTGACACGATTGTCATGATCACTGTATGAAGTGCTGTTTTCAAACCCAAGGTACAATTCAGGAGGGCAGCAACCTGTCAAAGTATGGCAACTTTAATTAAGACAGAAATAATTAGCCGGAATCTTTTGCCATGTGTTTCACTTGCCATGAAAGGTTGGTGATTTTGCGAGAAGTGTGAAAATGCAAAATGTCTAATATATAAAACAAGCGATTCAACTGTATTTTAGTAAACCCACGTGTGTTGACTATCCCTATCATTTGGCTTCTCCAGTTTCGTAAAATCTAACCTTAAGTCTGAAAGGACGAAAACTACGCTTTCGGTCAGTTGATAACCCGCACTCGCCCCTCAAATGAGGCTATGTCGAGTGGTAGGCGCGGGATTAAAGAGGAAAGGGTCGGAGAATCTATAAAATGTTTGGATCAAACGCTCGAATCCAACAAATGAAATCCCAAACACAGGAAGAAACTCTTGGGAAGAAGCATGCTGGTGACTAAGGACCCTGAAAATTCATTCTTTTCTCGTGACGTTTTTTTTATCGCCTTCCTCGGAGTTGAAAATCTCCCGCTGAGATATGGGGAATCCAGCATTACAACGAGCTATTTCAGGCCTGGAGGTATTTTATACAGTTGAGTGAAATCTGACTCTCGTCGGGTCCTAAATCTGTTTTGAATATTCACCTATGAGCTATGTTAAGGAAGGAGGGTCTTCATCAGTCCTTTAAGAATCGATCAGATGAGTTTTGTCGGAATGGTGTGTGTTGCCTGGCGCGAATATGTTGGCGTTGTTGCAATATATCAATTTTATCAACCAAGGTGGATCAAAGGACATCCACTGTTGAGATTCCCGCTGCAAGTCAAAAACAGCTCACTAACCCGGTGGTCTTCCCTTACGCACTGAAGGTCTTCTTTCCCAAATGGCTGATTCATAACTTTCTACTTGCGAATTCCATTTATCAGATTGGATATCAGGATTCTGGATAAGAAGAAAACCAGACAATTGAAAATGTGGAGCATGTTTAAAAAACTGGTATAAATGGATGAAGAATTCTGTAAAAATCTGTCTGATCCGACTCGTGGCTTTTGGCTGCACACCGGGCAAAGCACGAAAAAGAAAAATCAACTGAACTGCTTAAGTAAAATAAACACTTAAAATCTCTCTGGAACTAAATATCATTGAATATCAACCCAGCGGATACAATCTTGACTTAATTTCTGACAGTCTTGATAAGAACTCCGAAATGACTTAGATGGAATTCTTCTCCGAAAGGGTTCAATAAATAAATCATCAAAGGAATGCACTTGATCACAAGTCTGTCTAAACAAATTAGATTCTCATGTCTTCGACTGCAATGGAATTTTCTGTAATAGTTTGATTGAAATGACTTTTCCTAAAAGATAAACCAAGACTTCTAGGGCACGCTCATTTCTGGGTATTTTAAGATCACAGTTTGCAAAGTATCTGACCTTCCACTGAAAATATCTGAGAATGTTTAGATGCCTTCTCATGTGAATGGAAACGAAAATCATGCGTAGAGTTCGATTGGAAAATGTCTTGTGAGAGCTGCTAAAATCTCTAATCGTCCGTGCGTGCTTCTTTAGACAAAACGGTTGATGAACATGCCATGCATCTAAGTTGGTCCACTTCGCTCTCAACGCAGTCACAGAGAAAAATAAAATCCATGTTTAACCCTCAAAACGTTTGTATTATCGCAAATCATAAGTTAGAGAAATGAGAACAATCCTCGGTATAATCAAGATTATCGAAACGTTTCCCATGCTGAGGAACTAAAAAATAGGCCATGCAGTATACATATTCCTGGGTTGGGTTTCCCCTCATCTGTTGCAAGACCTGAACTAACTAAACGAATCAAAACGGAAGGAAGAACAGCTCACCTCTAAAGATCTGCTGATGGTAAACAACAGCACCGCCAGGAAACCAAAGGCATGATCCAATCTTACATAAAATCGGGGCAACATTTCGTTAACCATACAGTGTACGCCTGTATGGTGCACCACGGGGGTAATGAAACTGTAAACAAAGGTTCGATTCTTTCGCAGACTTCAGTTTGATCACAGTAACTAATCAGCGAGAGATATCGCTTACGCGTTATCTTTAACCTTGCAAGATCACGATACAGACGGGACCGCTTACCGCTCTGATCTTAAACACAGAAACGGAAGTCCGATAATTTCTCGTGGAAAGGTTTACTTAATTAGACCCAGAGGAGTAAACTGTGATTGGTTAAAAAGCTTGTATCCAGGGATTATGTCAAAACGTCGGGTCTTACAAAATAAATCTTATTTCGCTTTTAACCGAAAAAAAAAATTCAGGTTTCGGCTCGCGAAATTAGTTACGGTACATGACGAAGTAAAGGGAAATTTTTCTTCCACCTGTAGAATTTCTTGGCTTATCTTGGTAAACAGTTTGCATGACCCATGGATGTTTGTTGTTTGCATACGTCGTAAGTCGTATCGATTTCAGTCGTAATTTGTTTCCTGTCAGCTTTCCGTGTAGCTATCAGTTGTTGGGGTTGCATGTCCACACCTTGTCGCAGACCATTTCACCCAGCTAAGGGTGAAATGCCCTCTGGTAGGATGCCCTCTCTTTGTACTTGTGATGCGCAATAACTGTGCATGTCCATGTCTTGTTTCACGTGGAAACTTCAGTTACAGTAGTTCTGGTGAATTTACTTCCCAACGTCACTCTTTATCCATAAGAAATCTTGTTAGGATTCTTCGTTAAGATCTTTTGAAATTACCATGCGCTGCAGCAAGAACAGCCAAGCTCGCGAAGAAAATCTGAAACAATTTTATTTTTTGTTTCTCTGCAGTTCTGGAGGTTTGACCTCAAGGAAAGCGAAAAGCACGAGAATCCATCAATCCATCAAATGATAAATGTGGCATATATCAATGAGTGTCATCGATAGCAAACACGGGTTTTCTTCCATCTGACCTTTGCGGTTAATAATAAATCCCTAAAACAAACCTACTATTAATTTTGTTTATTTTCATTTTTATAATCCTACACTGAAAAATGCAGTTCATCTTCACCCTCACGACATATATACATACGAAAAACAGCTATTGTAGTGAGGGATTTATCAGCACGTTAAATTGCTCATAATTGTTCATAGTGCCTGAAAAAAGGTCTGTCAAGATCTCTTCTCCTTCATGGACACAAACAAAATTTAGGCCGTTATAATAAGATTAGTTTTGTTAAAGTAATCGGCGCAATGGAGGCGTTAAATGTACAAAAGAGTGATGCAGCAGAGTGGTATGGGAACCAGTGATGGAATTTGCTGATCTAGGAAGAGACCCGACATTTCTCTGGGGCCTTGCTATTCAACACATCGGGCCTTTTTTAACTGTCTTGGAATTTGTGCATTGAAATACTATAACTTCTTGGTTAAAACTTTTTAATTAAAACACACAGTACTGAGTAAACTTATCTTAGGGTGACCTTCTTGAGCTCTTGAAAATTAATGTAGGCAGACAGCCGAATCTATCTCACAAATAGATTCCTTTTTCACCTTATTCAATCAGTAAGTTAGAGACACAGATGACGTTAAAATGATTTGAGAACTAACAGGAAGCACGGAGGCCATAGGCGAGCGCATTACTAATTGTTGCTCACACCTTTTCTGATTTATAACTGAGCAGGCAAACGGCAAAATGAAATCGATCTTTTTTCGAATAGACCGGCAAACTAAGCAAAATTTTGATTTGTTTCAGTTTAAGTACTTTTAGATATTTGAGCTGTTTTATTTTCCACCTCTAAACAGCTCCTACTCAGCTTCAGCCTTCTAAACCTTCACTTTCTAAATCGGAAAAAATCTAGCAAAAACTTTCAGACTTGTGCGCCAGTATGGTCAAAACAAGAGGAGTAAATTAGAGGAAACGACCAATGAGATAGCGGGTATTATTCAGTTACTGGTCAAATCGCATGGAGAGCGACGGCTCTAAATGACTTAACAGGAAGTAGAAAGCTTCATCACCAAGGTTATGCAAATTCAAGTGTTTCAGCATACTTGAATGAGCAAGTGGGCAATTCTCTGACTTCACAAATATTTCCTAAATTCATTTTTCTCTGCAGCCTCAGGCAGCCAACTATTGAATAACTCAGCTATTGATTTCAGTAAATACTGATTCCCTCAAAGGAACTCCTCCACGTCCAGTTCAAGCACTGCGCATGGTAAATTCAACTCGAAGTTGCTGACAACCTCTGGGTGTAATACTCCCATGATGCCGATGGGCTTTCCGTTAACGATCACCTGCGCACATCGACCAGGAAAGAAGGTTTCATCTGAAAAATTATCACATGAATAAATTAATGAACCCGCGAACCAGCTTGCGAATAAACAAACATACATCTTTATTTAAGGTAGTTACCCAGGCAATAAGTTAGACATTCAGTCGTTTAAAAAATATTTCATGGATAATTTTGTTTTATCAATTGTAGTTTTAGGGAGTAACACAGATACCTGCATGAGCCTCCAGATAATATCCGTGTGCTGACGTTTTATCCTCTGTGTACGGTACTTCAAGGAGCTGCATGGTGCGGTCCAACAAACCATGAATGACCTGGAGATAGGTAAAATCTTCACTTAAGGCGTAACTAAAATGGATCTCAAACGAACTTCAGATGGACATTGAGGCAAAGTGCTGGAAATACCGCGAGGCTTGCTTAACGTAGCTTCGCGTGCCTAATCAATCAGCACTTTTCCCTTACAGCGACAGTGACCTTACCTCAAATCCCGGCGTCTTGTTGTAATTCGCGGCACAGAAGCGACGGTGATTTCGAGCTCCAACATCTTGAAAAAGAAAAAAAGAGCCATGGAGCATTGGTTATTTTGTCCATACCCACCGAAGACAAAATTTTGAATAGCTTTTTGCTTAATCGAGTGACTAAGACAAGGTATTACTGTAAAAAGTGTGCCTCGCTTCAAATATGTTGCTAGTAACGTTCACTTGTTATCGGAAAGGTTTTAGCTCGAATCCTATTAAAGTCTAACTTTTTTTCAGGCTTCCTTTTATGCTTTATTTAATTGCGTCTTTACTGCGAGGCTTATTTCGTTTTTTGTTTATCAGCCGCAATCAAATAATATTTAATTAAGTTGTGAGTGCATAAGTCGTGCAAAGAACACCAACAAATCGCACTGTACCTTTCTGATCATCGCTGTGTACCACGTCTGAAATTTCAAACAGTTTCATTGGAAGAGGCATCTTCTTGTTACAGCCAATGGTCTTTAGGATGCCAGGAATGAGTGTTGTTCTTGCAACCTGTAAGTAATTGAAATGGTCAGAGTGCTTATTGATGAGTGCGGAAGATTCAAACCTAGCTGCAGCCGATCAGAAAAAAGAAAAATATCACGAGGACCCAAAGATAACTGGTGTAAGACATAAGAGACCGCAAGTGATCAGGTCGCTATCTCCACCTATCCAAATTCTGCTTCACTGCTAAGTTCTTTAAAACAGGCCACAATAACAAGAACAAACGACAAAGAGGGACAAAACGAAGTAACTTCTAAATCTTCCTCCGCTTACACACCGAAGGTTTTTCAATTCACCGATTTAAAGGCGAGATCCTCGCACAAAAAAATATAATCGTAATTTTAAAATACATGTATAAAGAAAATTAAAGATTTTAACTCCATACGAAAAGAAAAAAAAAAATAGTAAACCTGGAATTCCAGTGTTTTTGGATTTGCGATGTGAACAGCTTTTGAAGACGACAAAGGCTTCTTGAGTTTCTCCGAAACATCATCACGGGAACACTGGAAAAAGAAGAGAGAGATCGTTAGGACTTGAAAAAAATTACAGCCAAGGATCTACAAACAAAAGCCAATTCTGAGAAGAGGTCTTTAACATTGACTTTTCGGGTTGATGTGTCACTTTTCTTATAAGAATTGACAAAAGTATTTACGTAAAGAACACAAGAGCCAAATTGAGTTCTCTTAGAATTATTTTCTTCTCTGATGATGATAAACAGAAGCATTGAGCCACGCAAAACACACAAACACAGCAAACAAACATAACGTATTGAAATCGCTGGGAAAAGCTATCCGGGAAAAAAAGTATCTCTTACCAGAGCGAAGGTTAAAACTTCTGTAAAGCCCGCTTGAGCTATTTCTTGTCTCAGCAGATCACAGAGTGTGTTCAACTTGAACTGCAAAAGAAGTAACAAAACTTTTGGTGCTGCAGTAGTTAATCACCCCGGGTTCTCTGCTTTGTGATCAAAATGATTGCAACGACTGTGACTGTAACATCCTAACCTACATTATATTTACATGCACAATGATTTAGTAAACAAGAGCTGACAAATGTATACTTGGATTAAAAAAAAGGAAAAAAATTATTTCAGAACAGCTAATTGAGGACACTAATTAACTGACATAAAACTTTAAAAAAAGTGATTGAGAGACTTATATCAATTATACATTGATTACTCTAATCAAAGATCTACAACCTATCAATCTGCAACCTGAAAATGTTATTTCCTTACGCAGGTGTATAAATTTAAGATAGAAAAAGGATTCGTAAACCAAGTAAGCTAATTATCAAATTCATTCCAATTTAGAGAGGTCACATGAAGTTTTGCTCATCTTACCTGATTAGCAATAGTATTGGTTGGAGGTATTCTCTTTACAATGTTATTAAATCCATGAGAAATGGCCACATCTTCAATTACATCACACTCATGGATAATATTTGTGAAGTGTCAAGAAAATAACATCAGTAACCAAAGAGCAACAAACCTTGCTTCATTAAGCTGCTTTCAACATCCCAAGGGTTTGACAATGGACTTACACTATTCACCTTTTTTGCTGCATTACATTTGAGATGGCAAATTTAGACTCTAAAAGGCCCAAGTCATGTAATAAGACGAAAGTGAGTTTTTTTAGGTGCTGTAAAATGGCACTTGATTCCAACAGTAATCAGCACTACACGGAAGAACATTCTCCAACAAATGCATCAGAGCTAAGAAGTGGGAAGAAAATGAATCACAAGACATATAGATTTAATCAGCAAGCTTCAAATTGTGCCACAAAACCTGCGCACAAGTGCTTTCTCTTTCAAAAGAACACCTCAGCAAGAGGATTGTGGATGTATATGGAAATGAACAGAATTACATTTCTTTGAGATAAAAACTACAGAGTTCAAAGCAAGATTAATAAATGCTATGAAAGGATATCTGCTCTAGTTGGAGGAATTTCTACTTTGACGTTTTTCCCACCATCAGTAACCTCACTTTGAAGACACATCCTTGTCAACAATTCTGCAACTCTCTCTGGAGATTCCCTGTGAACAGGCAGAAACAATTTAATCAGATCAATAAATTAATTTTAAGAACTGTGTGCTATCTTGCTACATGTACATAACTGAGTAAAAACAACGTCTTACTTGATTCCAATTTTATTGTTAATCTGCTCAACACTGACCACTTCATGGCGATATTTAAGTTCCTAGTGTGAAAAGGAAACAGAGGCAACTTTTAGTACAGATTCAATTAGGTAATTTCACACAAAGGACTGATGAACAGTGCTGCTGTGTGTGTCATCTGACACCTTTGTCAAAGTGTCAGAAAAGATCAACTCAACATGTAGCCCATAGCTTATTCAGGTGATTTTGCTGGCTTTCATTTT